ACTTTATTTAATTGTTAGTAGTACATACCTGTGATTGTAAGATATAGTACAAAGGTGTACTGCATACCACACCATTGTGTAACACCACCGTATTCGGTAACAGTGGTATTGTAGAATAATAGCACAGTATAGTGGAATATTAGTACAGTATTGTAGAATAATAGCACAGTATAGTGGAATATTAGTACAGTATTGTAGAATAATAGCACAGTATAGTGGAATATTAGTACAGTATTGTAGAATAATAGCACAGTATAGTGGAATATTAGTACAGTATTGTAGAATAATAGCACAGTATAGTGGAATATTAGTACAGTATTGTAGAATAATAGCACAGTATAGTGGAATATTAGTACAGTATTGTAGAATAATAGCACAGTGTTCTACTGTTATTGTGTAGTTCAAGTCCAGGGAGAGAGTCTGATGAGATGAGACGATATTAGGTGGTCTGTGTTATGTAGTGCAGATAACAACAGTGTTATTACGAGATGTTGCAATACAAAATGCCTGATGTAGCTCGTTGTATTATAAGTGAAAACATTTTGAGTAGTGTGGTTGCGGAATTAATGTACCGTTGCTGTGGAGCGTATTGGTTTTTACACAAAATATATGTTACGGTGGTCTAAATTGTGGAAATTCCAGTAAATTTCACACCAACTTCAGGTTGGATGCATTCATAGCACCGGTCTAATTTTAATTTGATCTAAATTTAGCAGCGCTGTGCGCTTCGAACGAGATCAAAAATAGCTTGCAAGATATAATGCAATTAAAGATAATAAATAAATACGTGCGCTGCGTCATGGTGCTATGGTAACTATTTTAGGGTGCCGATATTATACAGGTGACACCGATGTTCAATTAATATCGTGTGCTATTGTGTGTCTGATGAACCGTAAAGCAATAAGTTCGCATTGTTGTGGGACTACTAATATCAAGCACTGTACATTTCTTGTGCATTTCCCGGTGAAGCGGTTTTAATTAGGGTTTGTGAATGTACAAAATTATTAATTATAAACTCAATTACTCCTTATCTGAGTCATTATCGATTGTTAATTGCAGGGACATAATGAAGAGATCGCATTTTTCACAAAAAAAAACAAAATATACCAACCACCGTTACTTTAAAATAATTTCCAACTCAATGTAACATTGTGCCCAACTCAATGTAACACTGTGCCCAATTCAACTCAATGTAACACTGTGCCCAACTCAATGTAACACTTTGCCCAAATCAATGGCAAACGTATCGTTGATTGGAATGATGATATAGCCCAGTTCCTTATTGAGTATAACTACAGGACACATGATGAACAAGAAGCGGTAAAAGTAGTAGTCTACACAACATTCTTTTAGTGCTTATAAAATATGTCCAGGAGTTTTCCAGGCTGGTGTGTTGTGTAGTGTATGTGAACCTACGTAGGTGTGCGGGGTTTTATTCACAACGTTGTCAGTACTAGTATGTTATTAAACAAAACTTACCACAATACGACTGTGTCTTATACTGGAAAACATCAACTTGGAATCCTCCAGTCCAAATAAGGCTTTTTATTGTTCATAATACCAGATTTTCAGTTAAAACTCACCTGAATGCTCTACGCTGTTAATTCCTGGATAATCTTCCCACGGCTTCCAAGTATCGCTCTGAACACTTTATTCTTATTGATCAAAATAGCCGCAGAATTTAAGAAATTAAGGAAGTTACCCAGTTGGCAGCTATACAATGGAATCGTTGTTAAGTCACGTACTGGAGCTGAGTACGGTCACGTGGTGGTATTGACAGTAACTTCATAGTTCATATCTGTATCTGTAACATACTTGTTGCGTCACCCATTCCATCTGTGCTGTTTAAAGTGACATAGTTGCGGAACCCTCGACTGTAGTTTCCTTTTTACAGACCTTACTAATGTTGATAGTGACATAGTGACACAGTTGTTAAATTCGTAACTCTAGTTTCCTTTTACCGACTACAATAGTGATAAAGGGAGCCGGAAGTTAAGAATATACGACTTATGACAATCTTTCAAATATTTGAGTATATATAATGAAGATGTGGATTCTGGTTGAGAGGTGATGTGATTCTGGGGTTCAATTGGTCAATAGTGGAAGCTGATTTGTTAATTACTGTCACGTGTCACCTCTCCGCCAGGTCCCACTAGAATCAACATCTAATATACTCAATGCTCTTGGTACTCTCATTTGATAGAAATAGTTGCTATGTCACACTGTTTTCACACACTATGTCCCCAGATACCAGGTGAATGATCTAATATATTGTGAGTGTGTCCCTAGTTCCCGGCTAGAGTAAGTGTACTTACTAGCCCATCAGAGAGCTTTGTTTGAGTCACGTGGTTACAGAGAGCAGTATTACAAACATGTGGTTATAACCAACCAGCCATAATGCAGTAATGGACAGAAATAAAGTTTTTGATATAATCAACCCGCATTTTCATTCTTGTGATTTAAGGGTAGTCCAACTTCCCAGCAAACAGCATTTTAGACTATTGATACCAATTACGATCCACCCAATCACAGAGCTGCACTCAAGTCACATGTTAACACTCTCAGAGCTACATTGTGGTCTATAAATATATAGAAATATGAAGGATATATAATTTTCTCATTTTATTTACACTGGATGGTATGCATGTTTGCTCTCAAACAAGCGCGCTAGATGTCTGTGTAGTAAGCCACCAGGGTGGCTAGTTGAGAGAGAGTGCTACATGATGTCCTGGAGTCAGGATACACCAGCAGTTACATTCTGTAAACTTGGAATGTTCTAATCACGTGACTGAATAACCAACCAGCATCATGTATTGTAGTAATGAATAATAATCAATGATATTGAATATAAGTTTTTGATATTAACCTACCTGATAAAGATACTGCACGATGTACTACACAGCTACACAGCTACACGGTTACACAGCTACACAGCGCTAGTTCTAACACTATGTAATGTGACGATACACGAGTAACACAGAGTAAACTTGGTGTGTTCAACACATCTAGGTCACATCTCCCACCACCTCACACATTACACATCATCCCTTTAAATATACGGATAAATCATCACACAACTTAACTTCTGCTGTTTATCAGTTTAATTAGTAAGCAGGACATTTAGAATATGTAGTCTGGAGGGAGCTTTCTTTACCAATTCTTAGGTTTAGTGATATGCACATTGCACTAGTGAGTAGTGACCACTAGTGAGTAGTGACCACTAGTGAGTAGTGACCACTAGTGAGTAGTGACCACTAGTGACTAGTGACCACTAGTGAGTAGTGACCACTAGTGAGTAGTGACCACTAGTGACTAGTGACCACTAGTGAGTAGTGACCACTAGTGACTAGTGACCACTAGTGAGTAGTGACCACTAGTGACTAGTGACCGCTTGCATGAAACCTACATCTGCATATTATTGGATATATTAGGGAAACGCTATAATATTATGGTTATTGTGAACATTGTTAGCAACATGATATTGCTTATCGTGAGGCGTGACGGTATCCCGTGACGTTGGATACGTGACCCCCAGTACAGTCTACACTTTGCAACTGTGGACTATAACATAACACTGAATATTGTGTCTCACATTGCTTAGTGTGTCCACTCTCTCTCTTAGTGTGTCCTCTGAATCTACCCTAGTGAGCTGACTGTCCCTGAAACACAGTGTAATAGTGTTGTTTCACCACAAATTAGGTCACCCTTCGTAAGATTATCCTAACTCCTCTGTAAATTAGTAAATAGGTGACCTCTTTATCTGCACTTTACTGTGGTCTACACTGACTACTATGACTATTGACTAACACGGTCTTAATGTTACATGCTCTTTATGTAAAGATCATTGTAGCTCCTTTTTACAATAAACCTGAGGGTGAATAGTTTTTGCTAAATTTAGAACACAATCGAAGTATAATAACGTACACAGACACACACACACACACACACACACACACACACACACACACACACCTTCATAAAAGATACAAATGCTTATCGTACGTTATTTCATGATGCGTTTACACATATGTAGCGTACACAATAAGTACTTTTGTACACTAATACTTGTTTCTCACGTTCACTCTTGCTATAACACACACACACACACATATATATAGTGATGGTGTTAACTGCTGTTAAGACACACAATACAGTAACAGGAATCACGCGAGTGTGCTTGATCAGCCTTAAATACTAACTACAGTAATCGATACATCCATCATCATGCGATTATATGACTTGGAAGTGAGAGAGCCGGACACAATATGTGCAATTTCCGTCTTGTTAAACATGTTAGTTGTACAGTAGTGAAATAGTAGATTTTTCTCTTCTGTTACAAATATCAGATGAATGAGCTGTTGAAATGTGTAAAATTAAGTTTTAAAGTTTTCACATGAGAGTGTGAGTTAATAAAAGATAAAAGTTTTAGTGTGAGTTAATTGAAAATATAACAACGGAAAGATATTAATTGCACTGTGTCCAGAAATTACCGTTTCTTTATTGCCGTTTCTTTACTGAAGAGCGAGGAGACGTCCTGTAAATGTATTATAATATAGAACTTGTAATGACCATTATTGCTTTGCACAATAACGACATGTACACAGTTAGTAAGAGTTCTATATCATTATCGTGCGTTTCCATGAAGTTGAATGGAGAGTGTGAACTGTGAAGCACGCGTATTGTCGCACTCTTATTATTGCGGTTTTTACATTTAATTGTAAGTGCATAGTGTAAAATACAGTGATTCAAAGAATGTGTTTACATTGTAGTTATGTATGTCATGCAACAACCAAGACGTCCAACTTGTACTGTTTCTATAAACTGTCATGTTTCACACAAGTTCAGATAAGTTAAATAAAAATGCCACTTGAGATTTTACACGCACAGATTCCGTCAATGTGATCATCAAATAATTCAAATAGCATGTGATGTCTCAGCGTCAAAAACTCACACATATCACATAGACGTGTCAAGTATGTGGACTAACACTGTTATTTCAGGTCCAAATCGAAGATGGCGAGCGCGGTGAAGGTGGCGGTGAGGATGCGCCCTCTGAACGAGCGCGAGAAGATCCTCAACTCTAAAGTGATCGTCACCATGAACCCCGAAACCACCTTCTTACAAGACCCTAAAAGCAACCGCCCTCCCAAAGCTTTCCACTTTGATCACAGTTTCTGGTCCATGGACAAAACCAAGCCTCAGTACGCTAACCAGGAACAAGTGTACGACAAACTAGGACACGATGTGTTAGAGAATGCTATAGAGGGGTATAACGCGTGTATATTCGCGTACGGTCAGACGGGTAGCGGTAAATCCTACTCAATGATGGGAGGGTCAGGGGAACCCGGTCTCATACCCAGACTCTGCACTAAACTGTTTGATAGAGTGGGTGACATTGCAGTGGAGAAGAACGGAATCACCATTAAAACTGAGGTGTCCTATATGGAGATTTATAATGAGAAAGTAAGGGATTTGTTAGGGGGACATTCTCAGTTAAAAGTGAGGGAGCACAAAGTGTTGGGACCTTATGTTGAGGGGCTCTCCAAGCTGATTGTCAAGTCTTTTAATGATATCAATGTGCTGATTGATGAGGGTAACCAATCCCGCACTGTTGCTTCAACTAATATGAACTCAGAAAGCAGTCGGTCCCACGCCGTGTTTAACATTATAGTGACGCAGATTACCCACGATGACATGACCAATCTTGAGACTGAAAAGGTGAGCAAGTTGAGTCTGGTGGATCTGGCGGGAAGTGAGAGATTCAGTAAGACTGGTGCTACTGGAGACAGGATGAAGGAGGGTAGCAACATTAACAAGTCCCTTACTACTCTGGGAATGGTTATTTCTACTCTAGCTGATATTGCTGCTGGAAAGAAGGGCAAGGGAGCGTTTGTGCCCTACAGAGACTCAACGCTGACGTGGTTGTTGAAGGATAATCTCGGAGGTAACTCCAGGACTGTGATGATAGCTACCATCAGCCCGGCAGATGACAACTTCGAGGAGACTCTGTCTACTCTGCGGTACGCCGACAGAGCTAAGAGAATCATCAACAACGCCGTGATTAACGAGGATGCTAACGCTAAGGTGATCCGAGAGTTGCGGGAGGAAGTTGACAAGCTGAGGTCGGAGTTAGGGTCCCGAGGGGGAACTGTGCCTAACCCTGATGGTTCAGGCTATGTTGATATCAACAAGCTGAAGGAGCAGCTGTCTCAGAGCGAGTCCCTGATAAGCGAGCTGTCGGCCACCTGGGAGGAGAAGTTGAAAAAGACTGAGGAAACTCATAAAGAGCGACATAAGTTTCTGGAAGATATGGGAATATCAATCAAATCAACTGGCATACAAGTTGATGCTAGCAAGTTTTACTTGATCAACCTAAACGCGGATCCTGCACTGAATGAGATGTTGGTTTATTATCTAAAAGAAGTAACATTAGTAGGTAGAACTAGTTCAGATAGTTCCCAAGATATCCAGCTAAATGGAACAGGTATCAACCCGGAGCACTGTGTCATTGAAGTTGAGAACGGCTGGGTACATATCTCACCAAAGCCTAAAGCAAAAACTTACATCAACGGGAAACTGTTGGAGGACAGGCAGAAGCTAAAGCACGGAGATCGTATTGTGATGGGTAATAACTACTTCTTCAGGATTAACTGTGCCAGACCCGGTGACAGACAGCAGTCTATGAACAACGCTGATTTTGATCTAGCCCAGAAAGAGTTAGCAGCTCACGAGTTGCACGGTAATGCTACAGAAGTGGAGCTGGACAAATTGTCTGAGAAATATCTCGCTGAGAAAGAAGGTGCCCTGGAGGATCAGAGAAAGATTTACGAGCAGAAGTTTGCGGAGTTGATGGACAAATTAAGCAGCATGCCTGCTGGTGGTGCATTCTCACCGGACAGCGAGGAATCTCAAACTTCACATGATAACGATGAAACGTACGATGAGGAGCTAGAAGCGGCACGTGCAGCAGAGAGACAGAAACTGAGGGACCAGGTAGTCAGAGCTAACACTTTGGTGAGGGAGGCCAACACTCTGAGTGATGAGATGTGCAAGGAGACTAGCTTCAGGGTCATCCTGCAGATACCCAAAGCTAACCTTGATGCTAACAAGAAATCAATGATAATCACCAGTGAAGTGGCTATTGAGGTGACTCACCGAGCAAGAGGGACTCAAACAGTGTGGACACTAGAGAAGCTGCAACACAGGATATTCCTTATGAGGGAGATGTACGAGAGTAGACGAGATGATGGATCGCTGTTCAAGAAGGTGTCCTCTAACATGGCCAACGATCCCTTCTACGAGATGGAGAAGAGTCACACTCTGTTGGGTGTCGCTAACTTATTCCTGGAGCCCCTCAACTATCAGGATATCAAGCTGACATACTCTCCTCCCATCATCAACAGACAGGGGCAGATAGTCGGTCACATAACTATCGGTATCCGCAGACTTCCGGAGAATGATGACTCTGATGACAGTGAAGCGTGGGGAAGTGGATCTGACATAAATGAGCCCCAAACCTTTGGTAAAGCCCTTTGCGAGGTTACAGTTCAAGATGCATACGGCCTTCCCCCGGCCCTGTGTAACTTTGTGTTCTGCCAGTATAAGTTCTGGGACCACCCAGATACCCTACTCCCCGGTCATGATGTTAATGGGCTGCCTGTGGGCACAGCCAGGTTCGAGCACAAACACATCTTCGACTGCGAGATCACAGAGGACTTTACTCACTTCGTGACAAACGGGTCTCTGGCATTTGAAGTTTGGGGACATTTGAGCAGCGGTTTCGAGGACAGGATCAACAGCAGGAAGCAAGAAAAAGACAAAAGTAAGGACTCGGGTATCCCTCACGCGCTGGTACAAAGATGGAGTGAGTTGATGTGTACCCTTCAAATGTGGGTTGAGATAAGAGAGCTGGACGACAGTGGCCAGTACATGCCAGTTGAGGTACACGACCGTCCTGATGTGGCGTCTGGTGGAGTGCTACCAACTCAGACAAGGACAATCCCGACGTCTTGTTGTCACTGTAGCCCCTATTGAAGGGTTCGGTTCATACCCCGTGGTGTGTGAGAGAATTACAGGGATTAGTATCGGGAGTGTATGCAGGGTTGGTAAGATGCACGCTGGATGTGACAGTTACATTGATGATGATCTGAAGAGACTGAGAACAGCGTGGAGCGAACGGCTGATGAGGAGACGCGAGATGTTGGGAGAGAAGTTACACAGCATCATCGATAAGACAGATAAAAGTAAGAGTGATAGTGAGTTACAGACCATGCTGGTTGATGAGTGGGTCATGTTGGTAAATGAGAGGAATGCTGTTCTCGTTCCTCAAGTAGACTCTGGTCTCCCTGGAGCTCCTTCTTCTAAAGGTGTTCCTCCGGGTATGGAACAACGTCCTATAACCTTGTTCTTAGACAAAGATGCCGGGACTACCAACTACATGAATCCCTCCACTATCCAGAAAGATTCTCAGATCGGTGCTGGATTATTGCTCCCACTTGAGAACAACGTGTTGATGAAAAACCTCCAGATCGAGCACCACGAATCTAAAGTCCGAGCATCGTCCTCCTGGGACAGCTCCATCCACAACTCCCCCGATCTGAACTGTCAGACATCAGCCCAAGACAGGATCTACATGATTGTTAAAGTTAGTGTCCTCCTTGGTTTCCCGGCTGGTGTTCAAGTCACACTGCGTAAGAGGATATGTGTGTACGTTTACAAGAAGCTCAGCGCGTTTGGATCTCTCATGAGAAAGATAGGAGGTGGACGTCCGGAGCAGACCAACAGGACAGGGGTTATGTACGAGATCGTGCCCAGTATCCCCAAGGTAGCGGGAGAAGAGGAGGAGAAGCTGGATGTAGAGGATGAAAATGAGAATGTTCTCGAACAATATTCCCAGGGTATCTCTTCTGTTGAGAGTATATTGGAGCTCGAGAAGATGAGGCAAGATATAGCGCTGAAGGAGAGATTGACTACCAGTGGCAGAGCTTTCAGAGCTAAATCGCTCAGTCAGTTGGCCCTCAACCGTTCTCTTACTTCCAGTAGAAACGAGCTGATGTTCGAGTCCAGGACTAACCTCACCTCATTCCAAGATCCACTCAACGTTAACCCACCCACATTCTTATCTAGAGCAGGGGGTTCCTTGCCTGAGGGAATGAACAACCTCATACCCAACTTCAGAGATAAGTCAGGGACTAGGGTTGACATGGAAAAGAGAAGATCAGCGAACATATCAGAGTTGTTGAGTAACAATAACTCTGTTATCGAGGAGCCTTGTGAGGTGTCCGACCCTACTACTTCTAATCTAGAACTTTCTAAGTCAGAGGAAAACCTTTTCCTGGACGACATAGAGGTTGTCGAGAAAAAGTTGAACGGTGATGCGCATGAAGAGCACGTGGATGATGGTTTAGAAGATACTTTAGAGCCTGTCGATTATACTGATGTCAACAGCGCGGTAGAAGTTCCAATCCCTAATAACATACCGGAAGAGGTTTCCATTCCTAACAACATTGCAGAAGCGGTCCCAATGCCTAACAACATCACTGAAGCGGTTCCTATGCCTAACAACATCACCGAAGAACCTATCTCCAACAATGTTGCAGATGTATCTCATGATAACAACGAGATTAATTCCTCATCTTTGGAGAACTCAGCCGAGCAGATCCAGGAGAATGAACCAAGAGAATCCGCTACTAACATTCCATTAAACGAAGAGAATTTACCCTCAAATCCTCCGCTAAACATTCCTAACATCGAGCTATCCGATCCTAATAATAAAACTATCAATATTGATAGCAACAACAAGAGCTATTCCGATAACATGAACTCTAATCATGACAAGTTTGCTGATAAAGATCTTACCAAAGTTCTGGAATGTTCTAATATTAACGATGGCCATCAGAAGAAAATTCAACCCGAACCAGAATTTAAACCTGAACCAGAATCGAACCCAGAACCTGAACCTTTAGCTGAACCAGAACCAGAAATTGAACCGGAATCGATTCCGGAATTGGTACCTGCTCCAGAACCTGAACCAGTGCCCGAACTACCTAAGGAAGAGCTCGTAATGCCTGATATTTATGTTGGTGATGCTGTTATGGTTACGCCCGGTTACAAGATGGGAACCGTTAAATATGTCGGTGAAACCAAGTTCTCTGCTGGAGTCTGGATAGGAATTGCTCTTGATGGACCTCAAGGTAAGCGATAGCGATGTTAACTATAATAACGTATTATTTTTCTTTCTGTATGAGTCTGTTTGACTGTTACAGCTCTTTTCTGTGTGAATAAAATTGTATCGTTTTCATGTAAGTAAACTTCGTTCACGGACTACGCAACATTTTGAAAGGGGGTGATGCAACGTCAATTAATGTCAGTATTCCATAAAAACCCCAAACTGACATTGACATTAATTGACATTAATTTGTCTTGAAATTTGAGATTATCATTATTCGATAAATATTCAAGATATTCACGTCTATGTAAGTTAGACCGGTTAAAAAAAAACAAAATGTCCTTGAATAATTATGAGTATGTTCTTATCTGTTGATCGTTAGGTTCAAAGACCACCAAAAACATTTCAGCTCCCAACTCTTCCATCTTCGGTCCCCACCGGCCACGCCCATATTTTATTGGTTTCTTATACAGGTAAAATATCTAGAATCGGCTTTTTTAGTATGAAGGAGTAATGTTAGCTGTTTAAGATTCGTTATTCAAATATAAATGTCATGAAGGCATTTCGTTTAATGTGGGTTTTAAGTTTTGATGATGTTGAGAACCACGCCCTTGGATGGCCACGCCCATTTAAGACAATTAAATTTCGGAAAACCGTATTATTTTAGTTTTATTGTTTAATGATCGTAATTTTTTCACATTTCACATTTCCATATGTGATAGTAGTGAATAATTTGATGATATAAACGTTCTAAAGTGCTAAAAATATGGTAGAACTACATAATCTCTGGTTGGAAAATATCGTGTCAATTAATGTCAGTATTCCAAAATTTTGCAAAACTGACATTGACATTAATTGACATTAATTGACATTAATTGACATTAATTGACGTTGCATCACCCCCTTTTGAAACGCTCATGCTGCTGCCCAAAGAAATTGACACGGATGCTAATTTTGTATTTTCTTTTCGACTTTATGTAACGCGCAAAAGGCGCGGGGCCACGCTAAGTCGCTTGGTGCAGACACTATTTAAGTGCGTGCTCAAGCGCGCTAGCTAGCTATAAACACACGGCTAGCCGTAGCTATGTTGGAAGCTGTAGCTGTAGCTACACTCAGTCACTTCTAAATCGATTGACAAGTGATTATGGGATATAATGCGTCATATAACATTTCACACTCAATGTGACCATTGCATATTCATCATCATACCATTGCAATGCAGATTTTGCAAGATCCCACGCGAATTCACTTTGCCCCTGATCTGATGGCTTATCTATCCCCAAGAAATCCAGTGTTAATTTATACAATCGTGTTCCATTTCACGCTGTAATAATACCCCCATTTTGTAGGGAAACACGACGGTAGCGTTGGCGGACACCGATACTTCAAATGTAAACAGAAACACGGAAGTTTTGTGCGACCAGATAAGGTGATACGAGAGAACTCCTTCAATCCTGGCGCTAAAGCCCCCTCACCCTCAACATCTCGGAGCTCTAGTTCAAACAGCGTCAAAATGTTCAGTCCTCCCGTAGATAAGAAAACTAAATCTTCTAGAACTTCTAGCTCACTCAGTTCGCGAAAAAAGCCTAGATGAGATGTTGTTTAGCGCGTGATTGTTATTGATTTCAGATTGATGGTTGGTCGAGTGTGAACTTTGGACCACTTATTTGTATAGGGGCCAGTGTTAGGCAGCTATTTAATGTTAATAAGGGATAGCAGCTAGCCACTGTAGTTACTGTAAATGGAATTCAAATTTATTGATTCGGAAAAGATTACTGTTTCGGATTCCTTGATATGTGATGAAATTTGATTTTATTTTTCTACAAAATCTGATGTATAATGTAATAACAGGCGATGGTTATATTCAGGGTTTTTAAATTTTTATTGAGCGATCAGAATTTTTAAGCAATATTGGACTATGAGAAGGAAAGTTTCGACAACTGCTGTCAATAATTTATTTCATCTCTAGGGTCAAAATTGGTAGCCATTGAAACGTGCATGATATGTGAACTTTTTATTGGCATTTCCTTCATGACCTAATGTAGAAGCCATCTTGAGGTACCCATACCCAGAGATCTGAGCACACTTGGGACAGCTGTAAATGGGTCAATATTTGACCAATGACTGGTGCTCTAGAGGTATATTTTCATGTTCATAGTTATTTTTGATAAATTCCTCTGCGCAGAACCTTACACGTGGATGCCAGGCAAACGAGTAATATCTGTAGACTAATTGAGATTTTTGAAGCTCTGAAATAATCTGCTTAAGATCCTGTTCATCTTGTTCTATTTGTTTTTTTAAGCGAGAAATTGTTAGTTTCCAAAATTCGTTGTGTTCATTTGTCTAATTGGGATCGTTTACAGAAAACGTCAACATAGGGGTGTTTCACGATTATTGTCCACTGACAGAATTTGTCTATGATCGGTCCTTGGTATAGTTTTCATTGAAACAAACTGTCACAGCAAAATCAAACAAAAATTATTACAACTATAAATTCGAATACTGTAAATGAGTTCTGGAATTTCAAAAACTTAAATTGTTCACTTTACTGTGAGTTCTATTTATCTGCTGGGAATTTGACCTCCCCAGTGACCAGTGTTCCACTAGGTCCAGGTAGAGTACCCCTGAGTCTAGCAAGGTAGACCCCAGCTTTCTTCTCTACTGTCAACTGTCGTCCTGCCTGCTCATACTTCACACTGTCCCCGTCATCTTGCAGCAGTTCCAAGTGTCCTGCTATGTCCCTGTACCACGTGATCTTGTAGTCCTCTAGCTTGGCGTTAAGGTGCACTTTGAACCCCCAGTAATTTCCTCCTTTGATGTTTTTAGGTCCGTAGTTCGCGGTGATTGGGTCCTCAATCTTCACGGTGACTTTGTCGGAGACAGTCCTATAGCCAGGTTTCTCAATCCGGACCATGTAAAGACCCCTGTCCTCTGGTCTTATATTCTGCAGAACAACTTGCTGTCTGTAGTGGGGAGTTGAGAAGTGTCCCGCTGGAGTTGTTGCTCTTCCTCCGGTGATCTTGAGACCCCGATCAGCCTTGTACCACGAAACCAGATGCCAGGGTGATCTCCTGTCCCTATCACTGTCCTTGAGTTTCAGGGAAATTTTGTCTGTTTCTCCTAGTCTTAGGGTGAAGGTGACTCCTTTCTTAGGGTTAATGATCCCAGCATTTTTTACCTCAGGATCTGGTATACAGGCCTGTGCCCCGTAACTAATGGGTTTGAATGAGGACTTGTCGCACTGGCAGAAGTATTTCCCATCAGCCTCCACACACTCTTCATTCTCTCCGCAGTCACAGGGTTCCTGTTCAGCGCACAGATCCTCAGGGTAGTCTTCAGGACACAAACAGGCGAATCCTACTCCCAGATCTCTACAAGACATCCCTGTTTTTGAGGTCTCACAAGGATCTACATCACACATGTTGTACCTATCACAAGCGTTAGATGTGTCGTTGTAGTAAGAGTTCCTGGGGCAGGTGCACTGGTAGCTCCCTTCCATGTTGGTGCATTCAGCTCCTGAGATGTTGCAGATATCATACTCGCACTCGTTCATATCCACACATCGGCCGTGTTTCAGCTGGTAGCCCTCGTCACAGATACACTGGTGAGTGAAGTCCCCTTGAACACAGATAAAGTCCTGGTCACAGGGGTTATCACTGCATTGTTTACACTCCTCCGACTCAGAGCAGGTACAGTTGAAGCCTCCTTCAGTGGCTGAACATTCCATTCCAGATGGACAGAACTCCACTTCACAGAAGTCCACACACTCTCCATCAGCGTTGAAGACTGAGTGATCAGGACAGATGCAGCTGAACGAGGCATTCTCATGTTTGTGGTTGAGACACTCCAGACCTGCAGGACAGATGTTGGGTATGAGGCAGGTAGGAGTGCACTCTCTAGTATCCGGGTGAGGTAAGTGTCCCTCCGGGCAGCACTGGTACACTCCCTCGTGTGCAACACAGCTGTCCTCCTCTTCACATGGCTCTACCTCGCACTCCGGCACACACTGCTCCTCTGCTGTGAGGATAAACCCAGCTGGACACAGACACTTAAAGCTGTCCGTATCTGTTTCACACTCCATATGGTCAGGACAAGAGTCGGACTTGCAGGCGGGAACACAGTCTTTTCCTCCTACTACTTCTCCTTCCCCACACAGACACGAGATGGTGTTGTTCAGCTCCAGGAGGCAGTCCATCTTCTCCGGGCACACTTCAGTCTGGCATCCTGGCAGACAGAGACCGTTTTGAACTAGGTAGTTCTCAGGACAAACACAGTTATAGGACGTGTCCGTAGGGATACATTCCATCAGAGGATCAAGACATGCGTTAGGGAGATCACAGAACTCCACGCAGTTTGTCTCACTTCGCTCGGTACCTGGAGGGCACATGCAAGTGTGGGTCTTGTCCTCGTTTTCCTCGCATACTTCTCCCTCAGGACAAGTGTCCTCCTGGCATACACTATCTGCTACACAGTTTCCGCTGTAGGGCGTATCTGGAACGCAGGTATATCCAGTCGGGCAAATTCCGGGGATATCACAGATGTGACCAGCCTGGATGAGGCCAGGGAGCAGGGTGGTAAGGAACAGAACTATTCTCATCATTTAAGGAACTAATGAAGTAGGACAAGAGGCGCAGGGAGTTAATATAGCGGTGACAATATAATGATAAATGGTTAAGCAGGTGCCAACCACCGGTACCCACGTGACTGGAGTGAGGTCACGTGACTGGAGCTTTCTTTTGTGTGTCTGCAACGAAAATTTGATAGGTTGAAATGGTGTTACGAATATGATACGCTTGTATCATTTTTATAATGATATTTGAAATTTAATGGGCACTTTTTAAAAGTCAAGTTTGAAGTTTTTGGAGCGGAACCGACGTGAGCAAGGCTTCAATGGTTGTCTCGGTGAAAATAAAACTTCAAATTTAATGCAACCACATCAGTAATATAGCTAAAGTTTTATTTCGAGCTATAATTGTCCATTAGTGTTATTGTTGCGTCTGGACAGCAGCTGCCTCCCTTCTGTCTGTCAACTGGACACCTGTCCAATAATACAAACTAAACTATAAAGTATCCCCTTAAAGGAGAACGGCCCACCAGCCTCCTATACATGAGGGAAGGGCCCGCACTTCATGGAATGTACCATGGAATCAGGAGGATATGTAATCAGCTGAGCCAGACCCACTAATCCTAATAACCGACACTCCGTCAGTAAATTGGAAACAACTGCTAAAAATGAGGTTAAGGTCATCATTTTATATTACTATCCGGCTGGCAGAATATTCATTGGTAGACTTTTAATATTACCGCAATCGAACATCCAATATTTGTTAAGGTTACTTTGAACTTACCGATTAGGCCATCACTCGAAATAATATGAGCCCATGGTTAGGGTTAGGATTTGGGTTTAACCTAAAGTATTTTGGGGCTAGAAGTTATCAATTTAACAAAATATGGGTATATCGACAAATAAAAAAACATATTTTCAGTCTTATATAGTTTATCGAATTTAAACATAAATCAGTTGTCAAAACAAAACCATAATTCCAATTCATAATCCTAATACTTTAAGGGGAGATACACCAAAAACGTTTTTGCTCCGAACATCGATTTTATTTTATATCATGGTTAAATAGACAAAAAGAATAAGATTGCACACCTTCAAAATTTTCTAAAAATATTCCCTCATCGAGAAAAAAAATATTTTTCTTTTTCGAAAATTTTTAAAATTTGGAGAAGTCTGTCACTGTAATACCGATAGTTCGGCCATTTTAAAAGTTTTTTAGCTGATTTGTTTACTGAACATTACTTACACTCCGGAAGACAACCCTTTAAAAGATTATATAATTGAACAATAAATGACCATGTTACAGACCGAACAAGGTGAAAAAAGAAAAATTGGGATTTTTGCCTACCACCAAAGTTGTACATTTTACCACTCGCCCAGGTCATCAGATATCGCTTCAAAAATTCTTGTGAGTGTAGCTGATGATCATATCAAACTTTTTGGAACAGGATTTCTCTCAGTTTTGAGTTTTAAGGTATGAAATGTGGCCTAAACGACTTGGCAGATTTAAGGCTTAAAATGCCTATAACTCAAAAAGTTTCAGTTTTTTTGAAATAATTTTTACAGGATCGTAATCAGCTTGGTAAGACGAATCTTTTAGTACCAAATTGATAATAGTTAAAGACACAAAATTTGTAAAGAATGTGTACAATTTGTACAAAATTTATACAAGGGGGGACCCTTGTGTTCGAGCTAGAAAATTATTTAAGACAATTTGCCTTCTAAAATCACCTATTTGGTACTAAAAGATTCGTCTTCTCAAGCTGATTACGATTCTGTAAAAATTATTTCAAAAAAACTGATACTTTTTGAGTTATATGTATTTTAAGCCTTAATTCTGCCATGTTTGGCCCTTTTTTACGATGAATTTTACTAAGTCGTTTAAGGCCACATTTCATACCTTAAAACTCAAAACTGAGAGAAATCCTGTTCCAAAAAGTTTGATATGATCATCAGCTACACTCACAAGAATTTTTGAAGCGATATCTGATGACCTGGGCGAGTGGTAAAATGTACAACTTTGGTGGTAGGCAAAAATCCCAATTTTTCTTTTTTCACCTTGTTCGGTCTGTAACATGGTCATTTATTGTTCAATTATATAATCTTTTAAAGGGTTGTCTTCCGGAGTGTAAGTAATGTTCAGTAAACAAATCAGCTAAAAAACTTTTAAAATGGCCGAACTATCGGTATTACAGTGACAGACTTCTCCAAATTTTAAAAATTTTCGAAAAAGAAAAATATTTTTTTTCTCGATGAGGGAATATTTTTAGAAAATTTTGAAGGTGTGCAATCTTATTCTTTTTGTCTATTTAACCATGATATAAAATAAAATCGATGTTCGGAGCAAAAACGTTTTTGGTGTATCTCCCCTTAACACTATAATGCTAATGGACAACAGTTAAGAAAGAATCATAAATTTAATCAGTGGATGACTACCAAAAAGTGGTATATCAATATCATCGACAATAAAAAATCCGGATGGCGAAAATAGTCAACAGTCAATATTATGATTAGGGGTCGTTCACATATTACGTAATCAATATTTTGGCAATTTTTACCCCCCCCCCCCCTACGTAATCAACCGTAATCAAGACCGAACCCCCCCCCCCCCCCTATATTACGTAATCAAGGTTTGACCCCCCCCCCCCCGTAATCAAGACACAACCCCCCTCCTATATTATTAAAAGCTATCACAACGGATTAATGAATGAAATAATCGCAAAGCACTTACTAAACGAAAATTGGTTAAAAAAACTAAAATTTTGATTACATAATTAACGAAAATTGTCCAATTGGTATTTCGAAAATCGGTAAAAAATTAAAATTTTGATTACGTAATCAACGACCAAACCCCCCCTCCCCCCCGTAATCAACCGTAAGCATTTGAAACCCCCCTCGGCTGATTACGTAATATGTGAACGACCCCTTAAAGCTGAGGACAGAAATAAAATCCTGAATTAAAAACAGCTTGTACATATTATGATCTACAAAATGTACTTGGATCAACCGGCACTGAAATAAAAATAAAAATAATACTAAATCTGATAACCTAGTTTCAGTTGTGCGACATGAAGTTTAATTGTCAAGTCATCGACTGCTTATAATTTGGAACTACATTCAGAATCAGAAACTTCCTTCTCTCCTAGACGTTATCCGCGCCCCTCAATCCTCATCCAGTATTGAATTCTACGAGGAAACGGGCACGCACGGAGTCTGCTACTGTTGATACACGTTGTATACCTCATTTCGCGCGCCTTGTATACCTCATTACTGTGATAAGAGGCTTGCAACATGTATCAAAGCCACTCGGAAGCATTACATCTTGTTTCTACCTACGGGTGCAGATTCTTAAAAACTCGTCTCTCGTCCGGGGATCGTCCAGGAATGTTCCCAACATTGTGCTGGTCAATGTCTCCGCTCCTGACTTCTGTACCCCTGGGATAATTACCATGGTTAGTCGTTAACAATCATGGTTATGGTCACAGTTACAGAGTGGTTGCTTTTAATATTAAGTTTATGGTGTTCAATAGTGTAATAATATATTAACTACATCTTCAAATATGCCTATTTCCAAAAATCTAAATGTCTCTCAGCTATGCACCAGGGTCCAGGAATCCCTGTCCCAGATTTTCTATCCTAATCCTAAACTGTCATCTGGGCCAAACACCAACACTCGGCGTTTGTAAAATGAATCAAATATTTAACAAATGCTTCTAGGTGAGGTACTTAGAACTGTTAACGTCTTGCCAAACATTTATACACGACTGGTTAATCACAGCATATTTCGGTCATCTGCAGTTGGCGCTGTTAAACTGTACAAAACGTAGGTTATCCTTTTAGATAAAATTCTGGAAGATAACGAATAAACGAAACCATTCCCGCAGTCCCATTATGTTTGATATTTGTAAAGATGCCAACCATGGGCATGACATACTGATATGATATATGACGGCTTACAAGCGAGTCTGGAGTCGATATATCTGAGTTTTGGTGACGCCTAAGTAATTTAATTACATACATTTTAAGTCTCTTGTATATTATGGTATTGCTAGTTCGTATTACTTAATTTTAATTTTATCATAGCACGTGAAATATTTACTGGTCTGCTGGTTGGTCTTGCTTTGGCTACACATTTTTCATCAGAATCAGCCAAAGTCTCGTGCTTGTATCAACTATCAAACAGTATGACAAAGTAGATTTCAATGTACTGCCATTAGAACGTCGTATTTTGTTTTATTCTTGCAGTACTCGATCACTATACATATTTTGAATGTCGAGATTCTTCTGAATCTAGCCACGGTTACCTGAATCCAAGGGAACACTATCTTTTTAGTTTTACTTATTTTGCATTGAACACTTTCCAAATAGTGCAGAGAACAGCATTTAAATAAAATAGTTTTTAAAATTGACTATTTAATGGCCAATCCGCGCTGCATATTATATTTATATAATACTAAAAACCCGCTAGTTGAAAGCTTTGTTCGAAGAAATTTAAAAAATCAGTTATGTTTTAAGTTCTTTTCATCATCCAGCTCTGAGCTCTGTACTGTAGAAATTATGAATTTTATTTAGCTATGACGACAACGTTTAGTTGTACGTATTCGGATTCCCTAAACGATGCTTTTTACCGCATCAAAATTATCAATCACAACCAAAGTTATGAATAGTCAGAGAGTGAGCGTAAATGTGAGCTATTCATGACGTATCATAAAGCATGGCAACGCGCGTTGCTAATCTGATCTGTGGTTGCTCGCGCACGTGCGATTCCTTGCACGTGCGATAAAGCCTTAATCTAAATTCTAAGAATGTTATCTCTTATTCCTATCCTTTTTCTACAACCCTGCTAAAAATTGCAAGGATTCAACTGCATTTGCAAGCTGAAATTGGTCATGCCACTCATGCCAGAGGGTCATTTTTTGGTCAATTTTCAGTGTTTTTTTCCTATGTCCCAGTTGCCGGGGGAATTTCGGCAAGTTTAAAATATAATATAGATATATACATGGTATGAAGCAATATATCAATATTGTCAAGAGTGGTTATGGTTAACGACATGATCAAATAAAATATACTCGATCAAACATTGTATATCTAAGAAATGAGCTCATTATAAGTGAGTAACTTGAGAATTGAGATAGAAAATGTGTCATTTAAGTAGAGCAGCTCCGTTTGGCTGGCAGAATGATTGGCATTCTTAGTGTATCCCCCCAGTTCCATAGCGGATATTATGCCAAATTATTAGACGGAGATCGTCAACTAATTTTTCTTCAGTTATTTCTCCGGTTTGCAGTTCCATAACCTTACGAGACCATCTACGGTAATTTTGTTGATTCTCACAGATGGAGCAAAGTGCAAAGAAATTAAGAAACTGCCACAAACAGTATGACAAGAAAACTCGCAATTTTTAGCAAGGTTGTAGAAAAAGGGCACAGCATTCTTAGAATTTTGTTTAAGGCTTTAGAATTTTCATAATTATCATCGAAAGTGAGGAAAAATTCGAGCGTGCTAAATCACTCTTTGCTAACGAGATAAACAAGTTGCTTAATAACTTTGTCATTTTAAATCCGTTTCGCACCATCTTTTGGACGGAATCCTCGAATGATTAGTGACAGTATATTATTTGCAAAGTTACAGGTCTCAAATATGAAACACGGAGGTGGTAAAAGACCCGCGGTATGTCTGACTATTGGGCCCCTGTATATTATCTATATATATATAGTCATAGATACTGTGTATTAAATGGCCATCACGGTCATTTTGAGCTTAGATTCAAGTCTCTACGCCTTTCAGGAGCCTGAGTGTTCTGCTACATGAGTAAATTAGTGAAACTGATATTGATCATAAGATCTTTAGAAAACATTAGTCTGATGTGGCGAGTGATAGAAATACCGTGTGTTCAGATAAACGGATAATGGTATAGTAAAGAGATAATGTGGTCAATAGATTATAAGGAGGCTTCACTTATACTAATGTTTTGCTCTCTGTCCGGTGCAACTTTTTAGAGATGCTAAGTGACCTCTGATTTAAGAAAAATGTAACACTTTGACATCTACACTTCTACACTGTTTCACGACAAGTTAATTTCTGCAGTGCTTGATTTTCGACCTTGTGTTTATCTAATTTCTCTGTACGTACTTGATAATGCCAACTTGAATGTAAGCACTTAAGTAAAAGGTCATATTAATACACATACGTTGGGGTTTATAGCTCATTTACTAAGTGCCCGATTGAAATAATTCTTTCTGATAAGATTTTTATTTATTATCATTACGAAATAAATTAATTAATTACGAGGAGTATATTTAATCAAATAATAATTGTGGTAATTGTTTTTAAATGAATTTTCATTTTTAAATGCTTGGATCGAGTCAAATTGTAGTAGTAGTACATTGTTTAGCCTTCAAACTTTCATTTTAATGCTTGGATCGAGTCAAATTGTAGTAGTAGTACATTGTTTAGCCTTTAAACTTACATTAAAGGCAAGTTTGTCCTTTTGAAAATTAGACCTTTAACTACTCAGATGACATACAATTATTCTCATTAGGTGATGTAGATAGATAACCCGATCCATAGCCAGAATAAAGATAAGGGTTGAAGCAGATTTTCTTCTAGCCAAATGGAAGAGGATAGCCTCTGTTTTCATTTGAAACGGTTGGACATAGATGGGACTACTGTTAAAGAAGCAACACTAAATTTGTCTGCATATAAGAGCGTCTTTGACCTCCTAGACGATTGTAGGAAGCCTTTGGGGTTTGCTCAAGGGATTCCTTTACTGGCTTGCTACGAGGAATGTAAAACCATCTTGAACGGGAAGCTAAAACTGTCTCAGGCATATAGTACACAATGTCTGGTTATATCAGTTAGTGTTGATACATATAGCAGCAGTGAAGATAGCGGAGAGGATTCAGGTGTCTCTGAGGATATGAAAGAACCTATATTATCTGATACGAGCTCAAAGGAACCTGACAGCGGTGTTTCGCCAAATGAAGGTGAAGAACTGCAAGCAGACTTGTCGAGAAAAACGAAAAAAGAAGTAACTCCTTCGTTGAAAAATATCCTCAATAATGACGAGGCATTAAGTATCCCATTAAATGTTGGAAGAAATGAGGAAATAAGTCAAGGTCATAGGATATCGTATCAGGATTTTTATGTGGATAGACCATATGATGAATCAGGCAGCCTTTCCGTAGAAGTAATCATCGACAGATTGAAATACAGAACTGATGTTTTTAGAAAAGCTGAAGTTCATTCAATTGCCTCTGATTCAAAGTCATACTCCTTGAGCTTTGATGATTTTGATTCTGATGATGAAGAAAACGGAAGTCAAACTGACCAAATGGCGGATGGGGTTGAAAATGAACCATTTGATTTATTGTTAGACCTCATAGAGAATGGAAATATTTCAGTACAACAAGAGATATTCAAGAGACTACTTGAACAAAGATACAGCGTCCCACTTCTTTTCTCGTATTCCGAAGATAACGTACTAATGCACCTCAAAAACGCTCTGATGTTTTCCAAAGTGAAGTACCTAAAAGAATTCAGATCTATCGATGAAGATACAGATTTGCCAAGAGTAGTGTTTCTTTCGGAATGCTATGGTGACAGAAAGTATGGATATCACATCTCAAGTATTCAGTTGTCGATTTGCAAGTAAAGGATCAGACATAAAACACTTTTCAACCATGTGTGAACTTGATGTAGGATTCTTGAAGTCTGAAGACCCAAATACTGAATGTCCGTGGATGGTTTTGCATGTACGAGGAAATTATTTGCCTGCGATCCCTTACTTAAAACAGTTCAAACCCGATGCTGTAATGGTCGAAGTTGATCTTAATCAAACGAAATTTTCATTCAAGGAGAACCTTGCAACTATCACCACTAAACTAATGTCGTGGGGCACGAATAGGCATGCACTCAAATATGACAAGAAGAAGAAGCTGTTTACTGGCTCTTTTCATTCGATCGCAGATGGAATTTCTAATGGTCTGAACTCAATAATGAAGAATAAGAGTTCCTCAAGAGAAAGCAGGTTAATGCTGAAAGAAATTGACGGAATCACTCCACAAGATGAAATTCCTGGCCTAGAACTGATCGAGAAAACTGTAAAGAGCTCGAACATTGCCTCTCTGAGGGAGAGACTCATTCTCCAGAAGAGCTTAAAAAGGCAAGGTGACCTTCACATGAAACTCCAATTCGAAAGGGAGATTGAAAAGAAGAATGAACTTATCCTCCAAATTTCCAACGAGAAAGAATTTAGAGCTGATATATCAGTGAAGTATGCCCAAAACCAGGAAGAACTTCTCAATCTGTTCTACCAAATACTTTTAATAAAAGACGAAGATCTGAGATTCGTCCTAGCCAACTATTTTGAAGCTAACATTGACAAAGAATGTGCTTCTATACTGGAAGTAGAAAAGTGCAATGTGAGTCAGGCATATGAGACATACAGCGAAAGCCGAAAACCAAATTCCCTAAACCACGAAAAGGAAAAACATCTTGAAACAAATTATTATCAAGCCAAGAAGAATTACGTCAACAAAAGTGTTGGGATCGAGAATATCTGGAGGGAATTCATCAACAGCTATAATCTGCTCCATTGAATCATAAGTTACTGCCCGATCTAGCCGCACAGCATCTTATGGATGGCTTCGCGTTGGAACTCATGGATGGTGACACAGGAATATTGTGCCAAAAGTGGACGGACGATTTGTTCAGCACATTGCAGACTAAATTAACGGATATAGTTGGCAGGACTGCTAAAGTCTTTGTTCTCAGTGTTATGGGGACGCAAAGCACCGGAAAGTCAACCCTACTGAATATAATGTTCGGTTGTAGGATGAGGGTTTCAGCAGGTCAGTGCACGAAAGGTGTTTACATGCAGCTCATAAAAAGCAATTTCAACAAGAAATTTGACTACGTCCTTATCTTGGATACTGAAGGACTACGAGCACCTGAATTTTTCGGTGCAGATTGGTCCATATGGAAGGATAATCGGATGGCTACACTAGCTATCCTATCAGCAGATGCTACTATAATCACAACTGTGAACGAAGATGACATCGCCATCCGAGAAGTGGTGCCTATAGCCCTTCTTGCTCATAAACGATCTAAAATAGCTGAAGAAAATTCAGGGAGACAGCCAACAAAGTTGCTCTTTGCCTACAGTAGAGTCGACACTACAAATCTTTCAAAATTTCTGGAGAACCGGCAAAGTCTTCACAAGACCTTACACGACGCTGAAATAGAAATGGGCGATTATGGCCTTCAGGATTGCAGTAGCTTTCTAGATTCATTCAATACGTCTGATAAGGAAAATGAAAGTGATATCAAATATTTTGGATTGTTGAACAAAGGAGGAAAGCCACCAGACGACACTCCTAATCACGAATTTGGGACAAAGATTGCAGCCTTTCGCAAGTACATCGATGAACAAACAAAGTGTACAAAGGGACAAAGTTTGGAAAGTTGGAGTAAACATATTCAACTTGTTTATGATTGTCTCGAAACCACTAACTTTGAATTGAGCTATAAATCAGCGATGGAGCATAAGGCCTTCAATGAATTTGAGGAGAAATTGGATGAAATTAAACAAGTTGTGGCTGGAAATTTCTGTGAAGCATTTGCGAAGGCAGAAGAAGCCATCATAAAGACTGACTCTGAAGATACAAGCGTGAAGAATTTGAAATACTTCATTAATATGATGGACTGTCATGTACAATCTACAGTCGCGGAGAATCGCAAGAAAGTAGACAAAATTCTTGAAGAAAATAAGTACGAATCTTTCAAAGAACCAAGGAAACGTAATTTTGACAGATTTGTTCAAGAATTGCATGCGGATAAAAAAGATAAGATCAAGATGACTTTCGACGGGAGATTTGATTATGAAGCCAAAAAGAAGGAATATCAGAATAACATTAGTTACGAATTGCAGAGTGAAATCAACCGAGATAATACAATAAAAGATGACGCAAAACGTCAAGATGAATTATTCGAGGAAATTTTTGAAAGGAACATAGAAGAATGCCAAGGAAATTATCCTAGAGTTAACGTTCGAAATCAGGTTGAGGAAATTTATGCATCACACCCAAACACTGTGCAAGAAGATAGAAGACAATCATGGCACGAGAATATTAAACAACTTGGTGGTAATTTGCTAATTTCAGGGATAGAGGCTGTATTTGAATTCGTTATGGGAAGAAAATGGAGCAATGAGTCACGAGATGGAGCAAAAATAATCAAGCTGCAAAGTCGAATGGATGAAGTTATGAATAATGTACAATCATTTGAAGCGGGCGTAGTGCATAAAATAATTTCTGTTACCAACGCAACTACCAAATCTATGAATGCTGAAAATGCGGCAAAGTGGAATCTTTATGTTAAAGAAGCCATTATCAGAAAGTTGGGAGAGGTTCAACGGAACTGGGAAAGCGAACATAACGTACGTGCAAAACTGATGGCAGAAAAAGAGGTATTGAAAGAAAATTTCAAAAATGTCATCTGCAAGGAAATTTTTGGAAAAGAACGAGCGATCCATCAAATATCGCAGGGATTAAAGTTTGCCTTGGAAGGAGGTTTTCTTGAGTATCTATCAGGCAAAGTGCGAATTTCTGTTCAAGATAAGGGTTGGGTTACCGACTCAATAATTTTAGAAGCTCATGTTGATCTGAAATATCTGGAATTAAGTAAAAGTGGGAGAGTAAAAGAACTTATTAGCAAACTCAATTATCCCAAGAATTTTTACGAAGAAACTGTCCTTGAAAAGATCAGCGAATTTGTCAAAACAAATAAAGATATCGAATGGACAAATCTTGTTGAGAGAGTTCTATTAGCTTTGGAAAATTCGTGTCTTGAGGCGTCAAGAATGGATGCTGACGGGTACAGAAAGATGCAGGATATGATGAAGAATGATCTACCCATTGAAGTTCTTAAGAATCTACCTGACCTCACAACATGGGATGATGAACTGAACAAAGATCTTAACAAAACAGGAGAAGCTTTTAATAGTAATTTCATCGAAATAGAAAAGAGTATTAAGGACCATCTGGAAGGTATGAATGTACCAAACTTGCAAATAATAAACTATTCAAAGCGGGTTTACAAGATCCTTAGCGAGAATTTCAATCCGGGTGCTCGACCAAGATGCACGTTTGTCTGTCCAAGATGTTTACTCCCCTGTAGCAAGTCCTTAGGTCATTACAGCGAGGATAGCCGTCACAATTGTGACCATCAACCAAGGGGATTAGTGGGTGTTCATTGGAAGGAATCAAATAAGCTCGTTGGATTCTCATGTGCTGAAAGTGTAGCAAGAGGTGATTCCATAGTTTTCAAAGACGGAGACAAGCTCTATGCTGACTTCGATAAAATATACCCGGAGTGGATGCTTCCATGTGAAGTAAATAAGAAGTCCAGGGTTAGAAAGTACTTGTTTCAAGAACACAATAAAGCCATCGCTGATTATTATGGTTCGAATGAATCTGATAGCGATAACTTGGAACCTAGGATCATATCCTCTATTGATGAGCTGATCTATGAAACTTTGAAAAAGACAAAGAAATAACTGGGACGTCGTGACTCGTGGTTGAACTACTATCGGTAAGTTATAAATAACAAATATCCTATTGCATATTATACTGACTTAACGGTTTATTGTGTAAGAAATAAAACTGTCAGCCGAGTCTAAGAGTTGATGTTTGTACAAACAATCACCTGCAACTCGCTTACATTTTGATTCCGTCACTTGATCTTAGTATCTTTAACAAGAAAAGTGATCAAATGTCTTTTTCGAAATTTGTAAGAGGTTCATCAATAAACTTCTGTGGTTGATTGTTTTGCAAGCCTGTCGCCACATCACTATATTGTGATACATTTTTCTTTGTTGAAATCCCACTTAATCCATGCCTTGCAGATGCAGATTTAAAATATGATAAATCATCCAAATTTGATCAGTTCTATTGTTTAAAAACTGTACTTGTTCTTCTAAGTGGCAATACTAAGTAAAGGGCAATCGTAAGACATCACGAAGTTCGTTCTTAACTGCGGTTAGTATGAATTCGGCACACATAGTTGACTGGCTATATTTTCAGGAGTGCATTGTTGTTGGTTGTAAAAGTTGGTTGGTTGACCTGGAAATCAAAAGATCTTATATCGAAGAATCATAGGAATGACGGATATCATTAACTCTTGCTAAGACACCGATTGAACTTCTTTTCTTTTTTTGATGCGAACTAAATGTGAAACTATTGGCATTGCCTATGAATGTGTGCGATTCCCAATTTTAGATGAAATATCAATTTTTTCTTGATAGTTTAATTCTTTTTGTTTGAATACTTTTAAAGCTGATTTTGTTTTAGCCATAGTTGTTACTCCTCATGGTATGTGGTTTCAACTATATATTTGAATTGATCAAATAATTACATGTTAAGTTAGCTGTGTTATTAAATGTACTATTGGTTGTTAACTGTAACATGTTCTCAAGTCCGTGCCGATTATTTTTAAACGCCTTGAAAAGAAACTCTTTGCGAGTTTGTTAAGATCAAAAGTTTACTTGATGTAGTTTTGTTACTCCTTCCAATTTACAGATTTCTTCAAATGTTGTAAATTCTTTGTGCTACCTCAAATTAATAAACATAATCAAGTATCAACAACTCTACTTGAAGCGTTCACACTGACCTCTCATGGACATGCACATGTGACTACCCTCTATGATAACCCCTACACCGGAGGGTCTAATAGCGTCCACCACTGCATTAGCTATCTGCTTCGTTATTCGTTCCTGGTTCTGGTTGTGGAATGAAGTCTCGTTAAAGTCGAGGTTTTATTAAAAATTAAAGATTGAAAATTGACATATAATATCACTTGAAAATAAACACTTAACTTGGCAAACCTACACCGGTTGAAAATAAACGCTGTAAAGCGATCAGTTGCTAAAGTTTACTCTTTCATAGCAACAACATCATGGTTAAACTTAAACTGGTAAAATGTATATTGTAGATTCATCTCCTTAGAATTAAATACAAATTAGATTTCAGAAGCGAACCTGGAATCTACGAGTGTACATTTCAGCGATCCTAGCAAGTTTACTGAGACCCAGAACTTTGCCAGTAGGAATGTAACCTATGTGTATCTGAAAAAAAGGTGTTGATAAGTCACGATCAAAACCTAACATCCAGAATAGTTTGTTCGCCCAAAATAGTAATACTCAATTTCTTACTCTGGTTTAATTACCTTTCCATAGAAAGGGATGAGATGATGTTCGCAGAGGGAGTGGAACTCAATATCCCTAACAGTAACCATCTCCATATAGTCCTCCTCAAACTTAGCGTTCTTCACCACCATGTCTAGATTCTCCTCGTAACCTTGGTGATAATACTCATTATTCAGTCACCGTGAACAACCATTACACTCCAAATACGATTAATTTTCCTGATAATTAAGTTCAGAATTCATATTACAGTAAAACCCCGATTTACCGCGCCCAGATTTCCTTTCCCCCAAATAGGGCTTAACATGCATAATGTAAACAAACAAAACCCCAATTTACCGCGAACCCTGATTTACCGCGGATGTTTTCTTTCCCCCAAACTCCGCGGTAAATCGGGGTTTTACTGTACTTGAATTGATGAAATCAAGAGGATACAGTTTCAGGAAGAGGCTCCTATATGTCTTCACAAAATAACCCACCTTTGGTAAGAAAGAGGATGCTCTTGGCAGCTCTAGATGGAGTATCTTTTAGCCCACCCCTGTTTGGATCCTCTCCCACACACTCTATTATAGTTCTGAACGCCTCTTCTAACCTAGCTCTTCGTACCTGGTAATGTACAATTGGCCCATATCCAAAAACCCGCATTCTCGCATTCTAAGAATGTAGGAAATTTTTAAAAGTAGGAAATTTTTGACAAAAAGTAGGAAATTCGAGAGCCAACTCTGAGAATTTTCGATAATATTTCAGTAGGAATTTAAGTGAAAGAGCAGACTAAAAGTTGCTGGACCGTTATTTAAATGTCCTCAGTCAGGGATCCACTGATCCAGTCTATCAAATTTCGTTTCACAGACCAAAGTTTGTTGCTATTAGCTACAAAATCTGTGCATCAAGTAACCACTAACCAGATGCTAATTATTGGGGCATTTTCGCGTACACGACATAAATAGTTGTCATTATTACTTTATTAACATTTTACTATCTACTTATCTAGTCTATGAAACCGGATATGTCTACAGTGTCACCCGATATCTGTATTGGCAAGCAGTAGCATATACACATCACGTCTTCAATGTGTGTATCACACTGCACACACCCAGCCCAAATTCGTGTGGCGTGAGAAAATATCAGAAAAACAGGGCGTTTTAACTAATCTGTACGATGATGCTAGAATGGGCGTGAGAATTGGACTTTTTCTAGTTTTTTAATTAGTCGCTCTGCCCGCTTGCTTTTGTGGCTTACATTGGGTTGTTGAACTTCCTATTAATCATGAATCGTCCAAAGTTCCATCACCATGTTCTGCTGAGGGTGAAAAGCTTGTTCAACAGGTTGCTACGAGAGTGGCAAGAAACCAATCTTTTCTAAAAACCACCCATGGGGGGATGGGGGCGGCTATAGAAAACTTCTGCAAATCCCAATATAGACTACCATTCCAGTTTTGATAATAGCATTATCAGTCATGTAATGTTGTGAACGGTCATCAATGCAATTGTAATAACTTTATGTCAGGAGTTCAAAGAACATTATATAGTATTATGAGTTGATGTAATACGTCTAAACATGCATAATGCATAAGCATTCTTTGTTGCGTTTCCTATCTTATTTAAATAGTAAATACTAATAGTCATTATTATATTTTTGGAAAATTTAAATTCCTTGTTTCTTGAATATTTGGTCTCATACTTGCTTCCTTCTCCAAATTCCCTTAACCCTGTATTAGTTTATAGCTTGAAAGCAGAAAGTGATGGTAGTAGATGAGAAAACATTTTTGCCAAAATTATAAACTCTTGATACTTCATGCTGTCTCCTATTTCGTGCTTTAGTTAAGCCAAGTGTTTAGGGATTCTAGAATCCAGACAATTTATCCCTTGAATAAAAATTGAAATCAGAAAATAGTATGCTAAAATCGTTCTCCATTGTCAGATTCGTTCCAGGAGGCCAAATCTAGTTTAAATTTCCAAAATTTTCGGGGGCTTCGCCCCCAAAAGTAACCTAGGATTATCTATTAAAAAGCATTCCGGGCCCTAAAAAAGTAAAATTGAGAATCTGGAATCCGCCATGAAAAATCTTGCTTTTTATGCGAGCGAAGCGAGTGGGCCACAGAAAACGAAAAAATTGAGAATGTAGGAAATTAAAAATTTTTTGGATATGGTCAATTGGTATACCAGATTTAAAGGTTTTGGTGGTATAACTGTTACCTTACTCTCGTTTGTAACTGTTACCTTACTCTCGAGTCTCGTTTGTAATATTAGTAACTATACAATTCCCCTTTTGAAGCTCAGAACGATACAATGATAATCAAAATATTAGTTTTAACACTAGACTATGTACTCACCTCATTTGACATTGGTTTGGTGTTGCCGCCAACATACCCCTCTATAAGACTGTCAGATCGCCACAACACCCTCCCATCTCCATTAATCTTAGACACTCCTGATACTTCATCTGAGGTATATCCGCATTATACATTATACATAATACATTATCCACATTATACATTATCCACACTATATAGGGGCTTACCAAAAGTTACTGTGCAAGTGCTGATACAATAGCTGATACAATAACAAGTGATAGCTCATGCAATAACAGTTGATTGGGCGACATCTAGAAAAGTGTACTGTGTTTTGCAGCCAGACGCAGTGATTCATTGATAAGGATCTCACATCACAATATCTATGAGGCAGGCCAAAATATTAATTTAATCCCCTGTAAACATCATATTGCAGAGAATTCAATTTCACACGATGCAATAATAAACAAACTAACCTGAACTGATGCTGGTGGTACTGAGATTCACTGATATATCGTCTAGAGAGTCCGCCATGAGCTAAGGTAGTCATTTTGTAATGAAATATTGAAATTAACGTGTCTAAAACTCTAAAAGTGCGTTATCGAAATAAGTTAAATATTGTCGATGAATGTCATTCGATAAACGTCATGCAATTGATCCATCAGGATTTAAATTCAATTCTGATATTTGATTACGAAGAAAAACAAATATTCCCGCCCAATAATAGTGAGTATTAATACAGTAAAACAAGCAGTGCGATTGCAATATATTAAGTTATTGATTTAAATTGTAAAAACTATGAATTGGTTAAAAACGTTGAATAAGTAATTAATTAGAAGTCATATCACAGTTATATTGTTAGAGGGTTTAAGGTAATATTGATATTATTAAATCAATATCACTGATTATAGCTAACCATGCAAGTAAAATAACAAAATTGTCATTTTTTATGCATTCACAAACGATTTCAATGAAACCGCTTCATTTAAATTTGATTAGCAAAACCATCAAATTGTCTGTTTAAATAATACAAATACATTAATGTTACAACAAAAAATGTAAATTGAAAACTATCACAAAGTTTAGACTAAACTCGAGTGGGACCAGGGGTAAAAAAATGTCGACACAGCTGCAGCTGTAGGGATAGTACATGTATTATATATTATTATGAATTTGATTTAGTTGGTACGAAATTATAACTGGCGATAAAAACAATTCTGAACAATTCCAATGCATTATATTTTGTTTAATTTCAAATGTAAAAATTCTGACCATTAATAAAATTGCGAATGATTAAAATTGCGATTCAACAGCGCGTAAATCAAGATAGTTAAACATCCACGTCAAGAGTTAGTTATAAAGTTTCATCCTACCGAACATGTGCAAGTAATTACTCCTTAAATTAAGGAAACCGAACTGCTCCTCACTGAACACAATTACGAAACCCTCTGCCCACTGCCACTTCCAATGAGGGTCGCCATCATTTACCATCATCTCGCCCCGGAACACTGTCTGACAAACACCAGGAGGCTTCACCGCGCATTCGCAGTTTCTAGGCAACAGAAACGTCTGCGGAGGACGATTCTTCAGGTCGTCCAATTCTATGTAAGTCACGTGATCCTTCTTTTCCACCTCCTGAATACTTGGCTTTTTCTTCCAATTCCAATCAATAACCTTGATACTCTCCATCTTAGCTCTGAGAGCAACAAGTCCGGTAGTCACGTGGCCATCTGACGTAACTTTCCTGCACAGCAGATAAGGCAGTCTCTCAAAGCTCTCGTAAGTCATGTTAACTATCTGGTACCCACTGTGGGGCATGAAGTCTCCCACGTACAATCCGTGCTTTATCAGGGTATCTTGTAGATCAAACTCCGTTACAGCAGGCAACATGCTCTGTTCCTTCAGGGCCACGTAGGAGAACCCGTAAGCCAGGGAGATGGTCAGTTTGTCCAGAAGGTCGTGAACAGTGAATCCTATTTGGTTGTTCTGCAAAATACCCTGGTCTATTACTCGCGATTTGTTGACCCAGTTCTTAAGGTGAGATTCTGTGTGGTCTTTGTGCCTGACAGAGAAGATATCGTAAAATATGGTTAATTATGGTTGATTTGTACTTAATTTACAAAACATTTGAAAGCATGCTTATGAAGCTAGGACTAGGCTTTCTAGTTTCTACACTTTTCATTTTTCGGTGCAATCGCTCCACAATCCACATATTGCAGTTGGTTCAGAGAATTTCGCAATTTTGAAATCTCTAAATCTCTAAAATGGTGTAATAATAGCGACCTTACCACTCTACACAGGCTTTATTACCATATGGTGACCTTAGACTCATAGACTGCCTTTATTAAAGTCTAAACTCAGCGCTTGATTTTGTTAATTTATACGTAGCACAGTACAGAAGGGTGTCAGATTTTTTAACTAAATTAATTAGCAAGTAGAGCACAAAGAAGTAAATTCAGATTTGAAAACCTAATCTTATAAACTTTGATTATATAAGGTGACGAACCTAAAGTCATTTAATAGTCCAGCCATGAATTTGAAAATTGTGCTTTTGACAGCCCTTCTTGGGATCTCCTTCGCAAGCTTGAGAGCAGATTTTGACGGATTTTTATCCAAGTTCGGGGAGCACTACGACAACAAAGAAGTGAGAGTGCGATACAAACTGTACAAAGAAAGTAGGGACGAGGTGGATAGCCACAACAGCAACCCTGACAAAAAATGGGACATGGCAATCAACCAGTTCTCAGCGATGACGAGCGAAGAACGCAACCAGTACCTTGGCCTACGAAATGAGTCAGAGTCGTTGGATACGGAAGCGCTACAATTTGAGCCAGAGAATCTTCTAGGTAATCCTGCATCAATCGATAATGTAGCTCTGGGATTCGTTACTCGCCCAAAAAATCAAAGAACTTGCGGTTCTTGCTGGGCTTTCGGAGCTATCGCAGCGTTTGAAGGCGCTTATGCACGTGCAACTAAAGTGCTGAAGTCTTTCAGTGAGAAGGAGCTTCTTGACTGCACCTACTCGAACAGGGACGGGTGTGAGGGTGGTTGGTACCAGGACGCCTGGGGCTACATCCAGAGACACCGAAGAATTGCTGCGCTGAAAGATGCACCCTACGACTACGCACAAGACAGGGAGTGTGATTATGGGGGTGAGTTCCAAGGACGTGTTCCTAATGGCATGAGAAATGCACGATACGAGAGTTACTACACAGTGGCACGATCCGACAGTGAGTTGGAGAGTGCGGTGGCACGTGCAGTTGTGGCAGTTGCCATGATAGTGGAGAACGATTTCTTTAATTACGGAAGTGGTATCTACGGAGGTTGTTCCACTTGGAAAGCCGTAGGACATGCCGTGACCATGGTAGGATATGATAAGGACTCGTGGAAGGTAAAGAACAGCTGGGGAAGATACTGGGGAGAGGGTGGGTATGTAAGATTCTCCCGCAGTAAAAACAACAACTGTCGCCTCGCTGAGTACGCAAAGTTTCCAGTGGTAACGTTTGTAGATCGCAAGCAGACAGACGAAGCTGACCCTAAAACACCACGAACCAGATTACCGAACGCATGCGGGTGGGGTGACGATTACCCCTGCAGTGACATGAACTGCAACTACGGCTGTAAGAGTGGCACATGTTGGGCCCAGTGTAACGGTATCTGTGTCATCTCGGGTGCCACAGAACGGTGTGCGGGCTGCAAGGAGTGGTGCTATGTTGATGCCACGTGCTCTAAACATGAGGATTGTTTTGAACATAGGTACAAATCATGCAACAGTGCCTGTTCTCTTTAGATTAACTTTAAATAAACAGTTTACTGTGCTTGTTCTCTTTAGATTAACAGTGCTTGTTCTCCTTAGATTAACTTTAAATTTTGACATTTTGAAGAATATTTTGCTAACGAGTCTTTGATATGCCAAATTTATTGTTTATAAATAACAAAATCAGGGTGGCAAAAAATAATAGTGATCAGCATTCTCTTATATTGTGCAAGCCTGGTTACAACGTCACGTACAAGCCTGGTTACAACGTCACATACAAGCCTGGTTACAACGTCACGTACAAGCCTGGTAACAACGTCACGTACGTCGTACAAGCCTGGTTACAACGTCACGTACAAGCCTGGTTACAACGTCACGTACAAGCCTGGTTACAACGTCACGTACAAGCCTGGTTACAACGTCACGTACAAGCCTGGTTACAACGTCACGTACAAGCCTGGTAACAACGTCACGTACAAGCCTGGTTACAACGTCACGTACAAGCCTGGTTACAACGTCACGTACAAGCCTGGTAACAACGTCACGTACAAGCCTGGTAACAACGTCACGTACAAGCCTGGTTACAACGTCACGTACAAGCCTGGTTACAACGTCACGTACAAGCCTGGTTACAACGTCACGTACAAGCCTGGTAACAACGTCACGTACAAGCCTGGTAACAACGTCACGTACAAGCCTGGTAACAACGTCACGTACAAGCCTGGTAACAACGTCACGTACGTCGTACAAGCCTGGTTACAACGTCACGTACATACAACGGAAGATCTCTCTCATCTGATTTTAGTCCGATTTATATGTTTAAAAAAGTCAAAATGTAAAAAAACTGCCACAAAAAAAAACGTACCATAAACAACTTAACTTACTTCTGATCATGACACTGGATAGAAAAGCCAGGCTGTGGAGTCCGAGGTGCGTTCTCGTCGAGCTTCCTCTTGTTGAACCGCTTAACTGAGATCTCACATCTGTGACCGGTTCTTCCAGTACTCGGCAATTTGCAGTCCGCTACTATCTTATTCTGTCGACTGTGAGGATTGATAGTCAAGAATCAAAATAAGTTGCAGTTTTGTACTCGAAACTTGTCAAATATACCTTCCGAGAACATCATTTTATGAAAGAGAGGTTTTTTTTCGATGAAAGCAATTAATCTGATTAAAGTAGATGAACTGCAAATCGAACGGGCGAATATTTCAGGCGAACAAAATTGAGAAGAACAATCACCTGAGTTTACTAAAGTTCGAGACTTTGTCCAGTTTTACAGAGAATATCTCAGTTTCAATTGGATTACCTCCGAGACTATCTTTGTTGAATCTATCGATCTGTATATCCGTCGCTACCAAACACCTGCCTTTGAACGCTACCTAAATTTTAAACAACTCAAGTACGACTTTATAATTCTAGATTCGTTTGTGGAAGCAGTTTTTGGCAAAAAAATATTGACTGAAGGACCGAAGTGAAAAATTGGGTCATCAGGAGTTACAACTTAACTCAATTGAACCTAGTTAACACAGTAAACAGTGCACTAGGAACCGACCGGAATGGGCTTTTGGCTGCCGGACCGGATCTTGCCGGATATTAATTTACTATCCGGTTAGCCGGATTCTGCCGGACCAAAACCGGAGTTTGGAGGGTAAAATATAAGGCAGCCGGAACTTGCCGCAAAATTTAAATGAATATCCTTATTTTTAGATATTTGTCATTATCATGTGGAATCACACAATAAGATAGTGTTTACAGTCTAACTAACAGTTCTCGTGCCCCACCTAAATTTTCGAATAATTTTTAGCTAATTTTCGTACAATTTTCAACCAAATGAAAGTCATAATTAAAATTCTGATAGGCGAGCAGCAAGCTGCAAGTTGACTGAGCACTTGTTGCAACGTGCATACGGGGTTCTGCATTCCTCTGAGTAGTATGACCAGACCGATGATGTTTTCTGGTTAGCAGTAGACATTATAGCCAAGGGTAATATATCAAATCAACGATCTACAAGCAGTACGTAGTAACGAATTACGAGAGCAGACAAGATGTAACAAGAGTAGACAAGTTATTATCAAGAATGACTTGCAATTGGCATATCCTACCAGACCCCTTGAGTGCGATTGCTCGTGTGAGACACAGTTGTTCCCTTTTTGTCATGCAGGCCTGAGTATCAAAGCACAATAGTTCCCGATTCACGACACAACTGTACCTTTTTTAGCATGCAGGCGCACTTAATCACTGGTTAATTCCAATTAAGCGACACAGTAGTACCCCATTCAGGGCACGGGGGGGGGGGGGGGGGGGGGGGGGGGGGGGGGGGGGGGACTCGAGGCTTCCCCTGGTAATGCAATCTCGGAAGGCAGGCCTCCCCTTTGCAACACGAGCTCGGAAGCGGGAGCTCTCAATACAGGAGGTAAGTATCGAGAATGAGTCGACTGTCGGACCTTAGAAAATAAGGCTCCTAAAAATAAGGCTCCCAGATAATAAGGCTGGACAATTAGATTACCAGTCTGCAGGACTAGGACTATATCTCATTAAACTATATAAAAAATAAGTATAACGAATAAGGAAAAGGAACGGGAATGAAGCCAATACCAGAAGTGAAACCCCACCAAAGAATAATTGATCCTTAGGTAGACCTGGTGAAATAAGGTTACTGAACTGTAAGTATGAGAAAAGACGGAAGGAATAAAGGAGAGAGGAAATAATGTTATGTGAACATCATCAGCAGATACCTGTAACACCTGTACCGGTTTAATGTGCCAAGACCCCCTAGCAATCACTCGTCATGGTGATCACCTGTCCACGTTAAATGTGATGTCAAGGATGTCGCTGACATCAAGTATACTGTATAGTGTATTTGTACAGAATACACAGTGGTCCACCAGGCTATAATTGAACCAAAATCGAGTGTCATGAAATTCTGTTTATTTATTTGTTATTTATCATAAATTATCAGCCGGTACATATGCTAAAGACGATAATTAAAAATATTTCAAAATGTGGAAATGATGTACGATAAATATCAACGATTTTTTTATACAGTCCGAAATTCAAGCAATTAGCAGTAAAAATTGGCCTACATCTGACTGGATATTCATAAAGCAGTCTATATATGCATTTACTTACTCTTGTTGTTGCTGTTGTACGTGTTGAATACCTGTCTAATGAAAAAAAATTCATGTTGATATCTATTTTGGTTGATTTTTCATTTACCCTCAAATTTTAGACCCACTTTTTAACTAAAATTTTGGTTTTAAAATAAAAAAATGTTAGGTAGTGCGCTCGAGTGCACCTAAACCACCTATGGCATCCTAAAGTTCAGATAATTATCTAACTAGCCATAAAAAATTCAACCTGGGACAAGCTGGGACTTTTTTTAAAATCAGCCACGCCCATATTTGGTCCCAATTATCCCATTTATGCAAAATCACCTTAACAAGCTCAAAACCATGCTTTGGGGTGCTTTACTTGTAGCTTATAGTCTCCTGAACACAAATATAAAGTTTTATCAAAATTTGAAAAAAATTGGCTGAGTTATGAGCAAAATACTATATGACCATATTTGGGCATACGCGCCAATTTTGATAGATTTTTATAGATTTTAGCCCATAAATTGGCCAATTATCAATATTTTTGGATGAGACAAATTTTATATGTTAGGTAAGCCTATACTTCACATTCTCTATGAATATCAGCTCAATATCTACCTAACTGTGGATTCTGTGTTCAAATAATGGCAAAAAATGAACAAAATTGCCCATATCTCAGTTCGCGACATTTGCGAAACTGATTTCGCTCAAAATAATATAACTCAATAGGGTTTCAATATTTTTTAATGAAATTTTCAGAATCAACGTAGAATTGCCTAAGGACCTTAAGTTGTGGAGTAGAATTTTGAGTCAGGCCTTTTAAACAAATTTAGCGGCCAAATTCTAAAATTTTCAGGGTATTTTTGGAAAAAATCAATTTTTTGATTTCTCATTTTCAGCCCTTCTGGTATATTTTGAGGTCTTGTAAGTGCTTTAAAACGTCTTTTTGGGCGAAAATACTCCAGAAAACATCTCCTGAGACAACAAAATGACCTAGAAGGGGTCTATTATAGCCTGACCCCCCTTCGCGGACCACTGTGGAATACTAGGTCGGTCTTTCAGAAGCTTTCTGAATTTACTCTTCAGGAGTCTGTCATTATAACATCTTGAAAGAAGTGTCCTATAAAGGGTGTAATGTTGGTAGAACACAGAAAAGAATCAAGGTCAGAGATAATGGAAGAGTAACGAAGGACCTGACCGTAAAAAACATTATAACCAACAGAAGAGGAAATATTACTGTTAGGAAAGGTGTACATGACCACAGGAAAGTTGAAGTCATCAAGTTTGTTGTAAAGCTTGGTGGCGACGTGTCCGGAGTTATTCATCGAGATGTTGATGTCGAGATAGTTTACAGGGTGTTTCAAAAATAATGTCCTGATTTTAAAAAACAATAAAATTTTTTATAAAGGAGCAAAATTCCCATTATTGGTTGCCATTAGTTCATAAAGCTTACAAATTTAATCTGTTAAGCTCATTTGTTCCAGCGATTCAACTTTGTTAGTTTTTTTGGCTCTGTTCCAAAAAGTCGAATTTTGAGAAAAATGGGGTTCACAAAAGAAACAAAACTCGATATTGTGAAGACTTATTGGATTTGTGGAGGCAGTGTGACAAGTGCTAGGCGTCTGCTACAGAAGAAGAACAAGTCTAAATTCAGCAAACTTGATGATAGGACAATACGACGTCTTGTAAAGAAGCTAGAAACTGATTGTACCCTGATTAAGAACACGCGTACGGGTAGGCCGAAATCTACTCTTTCTGAGAAGAATATCAAAAGGGTGCAAAGAAAATTGGAGAACAGTCCAAGGAGGTCAACCAGAACACTTGGTAGGGAGCTTAAGTTATCGACAACTTCTGGGGATATCTCAAGAGTAAAGTCTATAGCAATCCAGTCCCTAAAACAACCGCAGAACTTAAGCAGAATATCAGGAGAGAGGCAAGGAGAATACAGTTGAGCACGGTGCAGTCTGCAGTAGACAACTGCCTCACCCGATATCAACATGTGCTCTCCAATAAAGGACGATGGTTCGAGCAGATAATAAATTATTGAATCAAATTTTATTGTGTTTTATGATTTTTTGATATATTTGTTACACTTACAACCAAAATTTGAAAAGTTATTTCATTTGTACTAAATTTGACAATAAATCAAAAACAGGACACTATTTATGAAACACCCTGTATATTATACAGATATACTGATATAGTCCTACTCCTGCAGACAGGTAACCTAATTGTAAAGGCAATAAACACATACCTTTGCTGTGACTCAAGGCAAATCACTTACGAGTACGACCTTTTGATTGTTGAATTCGATAAAAAGTTCCTTTGAGATCCTTGCACCTCTTAATATTGCTTCTGCGGAACAATCCTTGATCGATATTAGTAGAATAATCTAATATCCGAGCTAGGTACATGTTCCTAGATCAGAAAACACATACCTTCGCTGTGAGTGTGACGCAAGGAATTAAACTGGAATTAAACTGGAATTAAACTTGAAATTACCAAGGAGAACACTAACGGACTCGTTTTGGCTATACATCAATTCATAAATAAGTTCATATATAAAACAAAAGCCGAATAAAAGTATGAAAATAAAATCTTAAAATTTAACCGCGTTACAATATCACGAAGTGGAAATAAAATCAAATATAATAATTTAAATGCTAATAGAAATTCTGGATGTGTGCATAAAAGCAAGTCCAAGGAGATATGTTAGACTACATAAGTTGATGGGACGATGAAGGAGATGAGTAGGGGACGTGAAGCGAGGATTAGGACTTAATCATAGGATTTCGAAGGTTTGAAGAGTCTGTTAGGTGGTGATTGCTAGGACTTCATAGGAGGTGATAACTAGGACTTCTTTTCAGGAGGATGTCGAAGGTGAAAAGATTCTGTGAGGTACTTTCCAAATTCAGTAGCATGGAATGAGTTCATGATGGCCCCATATTCTTTGAGCATTATGAGGCTTTTAAGGTTGTCTGAGAGGTTGGACCGGAGGGAGTTGTAGCTGGGGCATTCATTTATAACGTGGTCCTCGGTTTCAAGGATAGGTTTTTCAAAGAATGGTAGTTCTTCGAAGAACCGCATGACGTCGGTGTCTGAGGAGCAGCAAAAGCGACATGTTTTCAGTGCTGTGTTGTAGCGATCTCCAGTGTAGCGACCTTTCTCAATCCTCAGATCGTGACTGCTAGATCGAAGTTTTGCAATGTTAGCTCTTTTGACCCTGCATGGGAGCTGTAAGTACAGTTCTTCACCAAACTCAGCTTTGACCGCAGTGTAGAATGACATTTTAGGCTGGTTGTGAAGATCCTTCTTCCAGTGGTTGACAAATGTTTCGTGTATGTGTTCACGAGCCGCAAGGGTGTGGGGAAGGGTGGGGCTTAGCGACAGTGCTCGTCTTGATGATAGTAGACCATGCATCATACCAGGTAAGGTTCAGACTTCAGTTGTTTCTGTTCCTGAAATGTATGGTGCAAGAGGGTGTTCACGTTACCTACTACCGCTTGTGATGCTCTACAGAAGTAGGCAATACATTGAGGGAGGACGGTTACTGTCCAGGGGGTTCTACCTGTATCTCCGTAGCAGAAGTTGTTATTTGCCTTTTTGTGGACACCCAATATCCATTTAAGAATTTTCAAGTGAGTAGTTTCAAGAGCATCTTTTGCTGCTGCTTTGGGAAGACTCGCTTCTTGATTTTTTGAGAGGATGGCTTTCACGATGTTGGTTGATGGCAGCCAAATAGGGCATCCATATGTGGCCACTGGCTTGACTAAGCTATCAATGAGTTTTAGCATCGTGCTAGTGGTAAGGGCTCTCGTGTCAATAGTTCGTCTCAGAGAGAAGAATGAGCGAAGAGCTTTCTTCCTAAGTTCATCGATTGCTTGCTTGAAGGAACCGTTCAGGGAGAATTGGATTCCTAGATAGCAGTATTTTCTGACGGGTGCGATGTCCAAGTTGCCTAGTTTGAAGCCGTAAGCACATTTCAGTATTCGTGAGCTTGTGTTAAAGACCATCACGCTGGTTTTGTTGATATTCACAGACAGCTCCCACTTTTCAGCATAGTCATGCAAGCAATTGAGCAGTGACGTTAAGTGACCCAATGAGCCCCACTTCTAGTTCTTGTCAAATTAGCTTTTGAATTACGACCCAATCATGAAGTATACAGTATAAGGTGTAGGTTAACGGCGAAATACAGCTACTTTTAGTTCCTTAAAGTCGTAGGTTTGGAGGAACACGGCTACTTTTAAATAATGAGATGGTTTTCTTAATCTTAACTTACCGTGTAAAAATGTAACAGGATGAAGTAATATATATGTCTTTCTTTCCCAAACAAAATTAAATGATATTAATTTGAATAACCGTCCGCAAATGCAAATTGATACGAGAATGAAATCGGTCGCTCGCTTTTCCCATATGTCCTAAACATGCTTAAAAGCATAAATTCACCAACACTGATCTATAAAAACCATTTTTCTCCAGAATAACTAAACTATTTTCCCATCCGAATTGGACTTAATGCCTTTTCTGAGGGAATTGCGGACTTACTGCCTTTTATCAGGATTGAATTTAACCGATTCCTCTCTAGAAAGGCAGTAAGTCCATTTTTCCTCAGATAAAGTCAACCCAGAAAATACAACATTTCTATATTTTTGATCATATCTTTGCAGTATAATTATGTGAGCCTCCTGTGCATTGCAAGTATGTAATATTGACGAAAAATGGATAAATTTCTTCTTAAATATCGAATATATTGAAATAATTTGTACAGCAAATCAAAAAAATGTTTCAATAATTCACACAAGGGGGACCCTTGTGTTCAGGTTCAAAAATGTTGAAAAGAATATTTATTTAAATTTTTAAATATTGGTACCAAAATTTTTTGCTTGCTGAGCTGATAACGACCACATAAAAATCTTTTCGATATAACTAAAACTGTGGAAGTTGTAGGCCAAAAACTACAAAAACTGCAAATAAAGTGGACATAACTTGATTCATAGCTTAAGTTGTAAAGAATCTTCTCCTGAAAATGTTAATAATACTACTAATATCTCAAAATTTCGTAAAAATGGACTTAATGCCTTTTCTCAGGGAACGGCAGTATATACTTCACGACAATCTGTTGTAAGCCTTCCCTTTGCAACACAAGCTCGGAAGCGGGAGCTCTCGATACAGGAGGTACGTATCGAGAATCACTCAGACCGAAAATTTTTTCGAAGTTTTTCTGAAAACCACTTTTCTCCACGTTTCATATGCTACCCTGTTCATTATTAGCCGAAAATATTTTTTTTCAAAGTATAGTGAAAAAAGTTTGATTTCTCTTGGAGAATTTCTCTTTAGACTCTTAACTTGCGAACAAATTGAAGCAGCAAACTTTAGGCTAGAAACTTTATTGAATTGAAATAATCATTCCACGTAACAACGTCTTCTTCAGTTCTCAAATTATTTGTTATATAGTAGTGTTGAAAGTATTAAAACAAGTTAAGAGTCTAAAGAGAAATTCTCCAAGAGAAATCAAGTTCAAATGCGACTCATAAATATAGCCGCCTTGAACTATAGTGAAAAAAGTTTTGATTTTTAGGGATTTGAGTTAAAATGTGACAAAAAATATGCATTTCAAGACTTTAGAAATACATTTTAAAAATGAAATATCCGGCAAAATTTTTGAAACCGGAGCCGGAGCCGTAACCGGATATTGAGGCCGGATATCCGGCCGGATCCGGATTCAGCCGGATATCCGGTCGGTTCCTAGTTGCGTTGTCCGTTACCGGTAACTGTCTAGTTATCACACAGTCAGACAGTTACTGATTAGGTTTGGAATTTGGCTATCAATAAACTTAAAGGTCGACGTGTCATGCGCTCTGGCGAAGTTTCTTAGTAAAAACATACGGAAATCGAATTTCTGTAGCTTTATATAACAATCAGATATTTCCGAATACTATTACTATTTCTATTTTCAAGCACCAGCCACCAGATAATAATGTTAGACGAATGTTAGAATTGGGTGTGTATTCCCAAATACATATTTTTAGGCTTATATGGCTTATTTTGCCAATCTTAACGAAGAATATGACTAGACAGATTTTAAAGTTAAGGTAGGTATATTGACGATTTGGTCCCGGGATATATTTTAATATACTTCAACACGTTCAGCCCACCACTCTCCTTCACTTAATTAGTGGATGGCCACTTATCTTTAAAATAATCCTAAAAAATGAAAGTAACCTGAAGTAGACCCCCGCCAGGAACACTACACCTCATGAAGTAGCCTTGAAGTGCTCCATAGTGGAAGTGAACGTGTTTATACACTTGCATAGCGTCGTCTGCTTCAGAAACCTGGGATAACATTAGTCGGGTAATCCTGTCTTAACAAAACTGTTACGTATGAGGTTAAATCGGGACAACCAACAAGTTTGTGGGACGTGGGTGAAAATAGGAAGTAATTAATGAATGGATTGCGACAGCTTTTTCTCTGACAGTACTCAGTATACACTATACAGTATATACTATACAGGGCTAGCTAAAAAAGGTAAAGTTTTGGCAAATGAACTCCATACATACATACATGTTACATGGTAAGGTCTCCTCCTAGTCGTTGGAGTGGCCTGCATCACACACATCGCGTTGGCGTCGTAACATATGTCTCCACTGTACACGGTTGGTAGCCAAAGCTTCTGTTGTGTCGTTGTCGATGTTTTCAACACCTGTAAACTTAGCAGCATCTTCGAGTACGCAGGACTTCCAGTTCTTACGGGGTCTGCCCCTTGACCTCTTTCCATACTTTGGCTTCCAGTTCAACAGAAACCTCGGTAGTCTAGAGTCTGGCATTCTAACTACATGTCCATACCAACGTAGCCTGGCAGCACTGATGAAAGTCTCAACTGACTTGATGCCAGCCCTCCTAAGAACTTCGTCGTTGGTTACATGAAAGAACCATTTAATCCTAAGGATCCTTCTCAAGGAGGTTTGATGGAAAACCTCGAAACGTTTCATCTGCTTTTTGGTGGTGTTCCAGACTTCAGCTCCATACAACAAGATGGTGAGGACAGCAGCCCTATAGATCCTGATCTTGGTTGGAGTCTTTATAGTTCTGCTATTCCAAATGTTCCAGAGCTGATGAAAGGCGCCATTAGCCTTCTGGATACGGACATCCAGGTCTCTGTTGATTGTCCCATCCCCACTAATAGTTGCACCCAGGTAGACAAAGTTGCTAACCTGCTCGACGGGTTCACCCTGAACCGACAGCTCAATACAATCATCCTTGATGAAAGGTCGCTGGGAGGCGCACTTGCTTACAGCCATGCATTGGGTCTTCTTTGCATTTATTCTGAGCCCAGCGTAGGAGCTGTAATGAACTAATAGATCAGTTGATTCCTGTAGGCCTTCCCCTGAGTTGTCCATAATAGCCATGTCATCAGCATAATCGGTGTCCAGAATGACCTTTTCCTCGACCGTCTTCATCTCTTTCTGCAGCACTGCGCCTTGACTGATGATCTTGTTGGTCTCAGCCAGAAATGCAGAAAAGTTTAGGCAGAAATTAAAGACAGGAGGTGCTTGAATGTCACCCTGACCTGTGCCTGAGTTAACATCAAACCAGTCTGTCAGCTCCCCATTAACCCTCACGGCACTCATGGTACCCCCAAAAAATGACTGAAATATTCTGACATATTTTTCAGGCAGCCCATAGTGTCTCATACTGCACCAAATAAAGTCCCTTCTGATAGAATCGAACACTGCCTTGAAATCCACAAAATTAATGTAAAGAGGAATGTTAAACTCAAGACAGTTATGAATAATAGTTCGGAGAGAATAAATCTGATCAATACATGAGCGGTTCTGTCTAAATCCGCACTGATTCTCCCTGAGGAGACACTCCATACCAGCATGTAACCGCTTAAGAAGAATCATCTGAAAAAGCTTGGATGCTGTAGACCTTAAGGTGATCCCTCTGTTGTTCCCGCAGACTGAAGTGTCTCCTTTCTTCCCAATAACAATGATCACACCCTTTAACCAATCTTCAGGAACAGTCTCTTCTTCCCACACTTTCTTGAATAGACACTCTAGTTGATCAACTAGAGCACTCGCACCATACTTCAGTTGCTCGTTAGTTATCCCGTCCACTCCTGGGCTTTTGTTGTTCTTAAGCTTTGTCAGGGAATAACTAATCTCGTCTCTGGTGGGTGGTCCATCCGAACAAGAGAGAGAGTTAAAGTGGGGTTGGGGTGGTACTGTATCAAGGTCGGCAAGGTTGACACTTGATGATGGGGGGTTCAGAAGTTCAGTAAAGTGCTCCTTCCACCTATCCCTCTGCTGTTGGGGATCCGTGATCTTCCTACCGTCCTTGTCCCGGACACAAGATGCTTGAGGCTTCTTGTTCTTACCAGAGATCTTCTTGATATTTGCCCATACCTCACGCTGCTGACCTTTGCTCGCTGCTTCCTCAAGATCAGTAGCTACTCTAACTGCCCAGTTATTGTCGTCTAGCTTGCTGCTTTTCTTGACTAACTTATTAAGTTTAGAATACTCTGACCTGTTAGTGTCCGAGTTTGGGTCTTTGCGCTTAAACTGTGCCCGCTGAGTCAATAAATCCTTGGTCTTCCGTGACAGGTGTTGCTCCTTTGCCTTCCGGGGTCTTTTGCCTAGTACCTCCAGTGAGACATCAGTGACGGTCTGACTGAGATTACGTCACATATCCTCGAGGTCGACCTCACTATCCAGACTTGCAAATCGGTTTTGAAGAGCCACATTGTACTCTAAAACCGTAGTACTATCCCTCAGGCGCTCAATGGCAGGCACATTGGGCCTGTTGGCGTTGATCTTTGTCACTGACTGAAGTTTGATTTTCAGCAGTCCTAGAACCAGATAATGATCGGAGCCGATGTCTGCCCCGCGACATACCCTAACATCAAAAAGTGACCAGGACGAAACCGCTTTCCAATGCAGATATGATCTATCTGATTGACGGTGAGCCCGTTGGGGGACCGCCATGTTCCCTTGTGAATGTTCTTGTGCTCGAAGAGAGTTCCCCCGATGACAAGCTGGTTCGTCGCACAGAAATCCACAAGTCTTGTCCCGTTGTCATTTGATGAGCTATGGAGTGATTCCCCACCGATGACCGCTTCACTTCCATATCTGCCTGATGTTACTTTTGCATTAAAATCGCCGAGCAGTAACTTGATATCGTGACGAGGTAGCCCATCAAATGTATCTGTGAGTGTCCTATAAAACTTATCTTTCTCACTCTCCTCTGCACCCTCAGTTGGAGCATAGGCCACAACAACAGAGATGTTGATTTGCTTACTATGCAGCCTAGCAGTTAAAACTCGCTCCGATGTGGGAGTGAACGATATCAGGGAGTTTCTGATTCGTTTTGAAAGACTGAGACCGACTCCCTGTCTCTTGATCCCGTCGACTCTACCGGAATGGATGAGTAGACTGCCATTGTCCAGTAGAGTGGTGCCAGATCCAGGCATGTGAGTCTCGGTGATCCCCAAAAGATCCAATCTGTACTGATCAATGTTTTTACTAAGTTGGTAGAGCTGTGTAGATGAGCTGACAAGAGATAGAACGTTCCATGTTCCAAAACGTAAAAACTGTTTGCAATAATTTACTGGATTGGATTTGTTGGAAGCAGGGTCAACATGGATGATCTGTTGACTAATAAATCTGGTCGGATGACGAGTACCCCCTCTTCTCATCAGGCGACTGGGGTCCCGTAGGCTTTGCCCAGCCTCCGTCATGCTGGAACCATCCGTCCTTGAATTGGAAGTAGCACTCCGTCCATTTGATGTGTGTGTTGTTTCAGTAGCGTTGTTATTTGAGGTGGAAGGGATGCTGGCCCTTCGCACCCGATGAACTGCATGCAGTCCTAACGAGACAGATGTCCCGGTTATATTTTTCGACCTGTACTGGTCTAGAGCCGCAGTGTTCTGTTACCGTTCACCTGTTTTAACTGGAATCACCCAGAACAGGCTACTAAGCTTAACAGTGGCACCTCGAGAAGGGTGTGGCTCTTCACCACGCACTACGGATCTTGGGCTCGGAGAGGTTGTGTAAGACACTTCACGAGCCCCTGGAGTTTGGAAAACCCCTTAACCACCAATGAACTCCAGACTATTATTATTATATCAAATAAACTCCAATATCCTTGTTTAACAAAACATTACCTCAAGACCGAGTTCATTGCGACACAAGTCCCTCCAGACCCATTTCTCCTGATAAAACCGGTAGAAAGTACCGCACACACGTGACACCTGGCCCACATCCCTTCCAGGTACCCGGACCAATATAGCTTGTAACAGCTCGTTGGAGAGGTCCAGGATAGGTCTGGAGGGTGAAGAGTGGACTACTGGGGAGGAGGTAGAGGGCTCACTGTTTGGAGGGTGATTTGTTGGGTTACCAGATGAGAGAGAGGAGGACCGGTCCACTGAGCATGTTTTGTGACCTGTTATCCTCACTGGCACTCGTTTCTGAGGATTACATACCTTTAATTATGTGAGTACTGAGAAAATACAAAAAACTCTGACTAACCGTTAGGTTACGTAAGTTGTATAACATCTGGCAAGGGTAAAATCAGCCTGAAGTTAATATGATTGAACTGTAAATAAGATGAGATCAGTATCACCAACCTTGTTAAGTTTCACTTCTCGGAGGGTTTCTAATAGTGAGATATCCTCATCAGAGGAACTTACTTCTTCAACTGGGTATTATAAAGGCATAAAATACACAAAGTAATGACGCAGTTGACGCAGACTAATCCTTTTGGATGGAGATCTCGCCATATTGTAAGATGTATGTAATATATACACTGTTTTTGTGAGTAAAATATCAATCATCAATGAAATTAATTTTTCACATTCACGTAATCAGTAAACGATGACCACATTGTTGGTCACGAAAAGAATTGTCTTTAGCGGTCAATGCTCTTTATGATAGAGTGCATTACGTAGCCGATAACCTAACACGTCATTTACTATTCAGCTAGGGTATTAAGGTTAATCTAATATTATATAATAGATATGCATAGGAAATTAATATTATTCAGTATACAGTGAAACCCCGATTTACCGCGGAGTTAGGGGCAAAGGCCAAAGAAACATCCGCGGTAAATCGGGGTTTTGTTTGGTTTACATTATGTATGTTTAGCCCTATTTGGGGGAAAGGAAATGGCTGCGGTATATCGGGGTTTGTGGTAAATCGGGGCGCGGTATATCGGGGTTTTACTGTAGTACTACCTGTTGGTGGCTTGCGTCGCTTCCTCAGTCTCCTATCTGAGCTCCTTGTACGGTGCACCACCTCCCCAACCTTCCGGGCAGTGTCTGAGGGATGTCAAAACCCAGACGTTAAAGGTGATTTATTTCTTATTAGAACCAATTAACACTATGACTGAGATAAAATAATCAATCCAAAGAAGGAGTCAATCTGAGGCTATGAAAACAGTGTGATTGAAAATGATTTGTGTACTGTTTGCTGTATAATGAATGACCACCTCTAATTATGATTAAAAAACTGCATTGCTAATATTACGTGTTATTATTCTTCTCTAAAGGTCGGCTCAAATGTTTCTGAGTGATATTGTCAAGTAATAACCTTGATTTTCCTTATCTTCATCCTGGGAATCTTTAAATGCGGTCGTCACAGAGCGTTTACTGTCATCGTCCTCATTAAAGCTAATTTCACCATCTCCAATACTTATTTCGTCGTCACTGGTGTCTACCTCCATTTAAAACTAGCAATTCTATTTAAAACTAGCAAATGGATCCAAGAAAAGATTTTAAATGGATTGTTGGGTAATTGATCTGAAACGAGTATCTTTTCGGGTCTAGTTTATGGGAATGGCCAAATTTGGGACAATGTCCAAAGAATGAAACTTGAAACGCTAAAAGTTGGAATGTAGTATGCAGCAGTTGGCTCACACATTGGCAATGATAGTGGGAATTAACGAACAATGGCCCACAGTCCAGACTGTAATTAACCCTTTGTGGTGGATATTATGGACAATCACAAACAACATTGGATATTAGCTACCCTACTAGGCTAACTGAAAATGTGACGCAATCTTCGTGTATTTGCAGTTTGTACCAAACTATCGCCGTATCAAATTTTGTATCCCAGAAAGATGCCGACATCGTGCCCTAACTACAGCGAGTAAGACGTACCATTTCGAGGCTTCCAACTAAGATGGTAGCCATTAAAATATTCGATATGAATGAATGGATTTTAGGGCAACGTAAGAATGCAAGAAACGTCAGAAATGCCCGGGAATTCTAAAATGCGTGTTTTAACGCGCGGTAAATATGTTGCTGTGCGCGCTTTTGCGCGAAAATAGCTTTATCTTCATCACAAATTAAGATTAAAAACTAGCAATCTCCAGGGATATTTTCTGATCTCGCGCACTTTAATTCGTCCTGCATGACGAGAATTACTATACTTAATTGGTATATTCGCGGTGTTTTAAGCGTTATCTTATTGCTAAAACATCAGAAGTAATGTTTAATGAAGTAAAAAAGGAAAATTGAAACAAAATTCTTTAGGTTATATAAAATAAAGTTGAGTATCGGCCATGTCAATGTTTCAATTTCAACTCAGCAACTCTAGCTATGTTCGGATTTCAATCCACGAAAATCTTCAGATACTTAAAAACACAACTGTCAGCGTTGGAAAATGACACCGGGAAACCATTCAAATTTAAAGTTCTTGCTGCCCATGCTCAATCTTCCAAATATATTGAAGCAGCAACTAAAGTCAAACATAGCAAAAATGATTAAAATAAAAACCAGTCATATAAACGTTGGGTACAATACTAGTTAGTTGAAATGTACATTGAAAACAGATCTATAATATTAATTTAACAGAAAATGGGGGCGGAAATCGGGTATTTAACGGCGATTTAAATGTTTTTTGTTGTTGTTGTTAAATGCTGATGCACCTCTGTTAAGTTCTCATCAAAAACTTTTAAATATATCTTTTTTTGTGTATCTACAATGCAGTTTTAATCACTTTACATCACAATTTCTGAAAAAAAAACGTGAGATTTAAAGTTTAAATTGAGTTCACTAACATATTAGTCGAACTGTATATTACAAGTAAAAATGTAACTACGACCACCGCACAACTAGTCCGTTCTATTTGCACTAATTTTAGTCCAGATTTCCTCAGATCTATGATTCTATGATCTTTCTAACTCCATCTCCATCTTCAGGTTGGTGGGTGTAATAATTTCACGACAAACGTTTTAATCTGAAATAATAAGGAAAATTACTTTTAAAATAATGTCAAGTTGTTATCTACATTCTACCTTGTATCTATATATTATACAGACTGTATATTATACACTCTGAGCTGGAGGTTTACAAATACAATCTTACAGAGAGTAGAAAATTCCACTACCGTTTGTAGTTTTTCTTATACGCCCCTTTTTGGGACACACTGTACCATGGTTTTATTCATTTCCTTTTGAAACATGAGAAAATATGATAACAATTGCAATAGGTTTGCGATGCCCCGGCCCCGGTCGTTTTCTATATACAGTAACATGCAGTGTTTGTGGAAATAGAGAATTTTTACAACAATTAATGCTCCTGAGAACATCTCTTCTCATAGAGAAACAAGTTCGAAAGAAAGATTTATCTCATAATATGTATAGGTAAAGAAACAGGTTCCCAAGTATGTTTTTATGACGTAGTGCAATCTACAAGATTCCTTAGGATAAGGGGCCATCTACTTAAGACGTCCGGCAAAAAGGAGGGGTGGTTTTGGAATTTCGGACAAATCCAGACAGGGGGAGAGTGGTTTCTGAAAATCCGGACGTCCAGAAATTTTGGCAGAATTAACGAAAAAGTCCCATTTATTTCAACTTAAGTTGAATTTTATTAACCATGAATTTGAGTTGGTTTCATTTGTACTCTTAAAAGTAGCTGGAAATCCGGACGTCCGGGGAAGGGGGGTGGTTTTGAAAATTCGGACACACCCGGACAGGGGGTGGTCTGAAAATCTGCGATTTTGGCGGACGTCCTAAGTAGATGGCCCCTAAAGAAGATAATTTTGTTTGTACATAACTGGGGTGAGTAGGAGGTTGCAACCATTAACACAGGCAGATACTGTAAATTATTTTCATTGATTTGTTGCATTCAATTTTAAGTGTTGCAAGTAGCAACCACCTTCACGACCACAGTCATAATGTGAATTAAAATATAATTTTACATAATAAAAAATAAAAATGTGATTAATATTAACCTCTCTAACAGCTGTTATCAGGTCGTTTCGTCTAGCTAACATTTCCTCGTGAGCATGTTGATCAGGGAACTGTACTTTCGCCATCTGTAAAGAGAAAGTATGTGGTAAAATATGATAGCTATGCAAACTGAGCAATTCAAGGTATTTACAGAACATATTATGGAGATTACATGAGAACCGTTAGAATCTTCGAGGCTCAATCTAATATCCCACTAATTCAGTCTACCTTAGAAGAAGGATATACGGATTGAGCGTGTCATTTCATGACTACTATCGCATTTAGACACGTGAAACAACCCAGCAAACTGGTGGGTCTGGTGAAAGTGAACTTTGAGTAGAATGATGCATTTCACTTCCCTACAACAATACATGGTACCCAGGGAAATATTTCAGGACAGTGCCGCTTGAAGAAGACAAAAAAGTAGTGAAACAGTGAACATTAATAATTGTGCAAGGAACGTGCACATTTTGTAACGTCATCTGTTTTCTTGACGGTAGGAATGTTTAATCATCTATTAAGTAATGTGTTACTTAATAGAGTGACGTTAACATAATATTCACATATATCACACGTTGTGAACGCATGGAACACATAGAAATCGTATTCTAAAGTATGCAGAGCAATGCATGTACTTGTGCTGTTTTAAAACTGACCACTAAAATAGTATTTGAAAAGTGAATACTAATTTTATCAGGTGTATTTGGAAGAAAGACACAGTCTGTACAGTGCACATTAAAAAACTGTATCAGTTTAATTATTAAGATTACCATGATATTATTATAATCATTGACATTATGAACTATAGATGCGAATTCTGGCCGGGAGGTGAGGCACGTGACTGTGATTAGTGATTCTATGTTTTTATTTTTAGTCAAAATTAGTGGAATAGCAAATTGGTTTATTGCTATTATCAGTTCATATTACAATAACTACTAATTATCAGTTATAATTTCCTGAAAGAGGGAGAGAGAGAGAGAGAGAGAGAGAGAGAGAGAGAGAGAGAGAGAGAGAGAGAGAGAGAGAGAGAGAAAGAGAGAGAGAAAGAGAGAGAGAGAGAGAGAAAGAGAGAGAGAGAGAGAGAGAGAGAGAGAGAGAGAGAGAGAGAGAGAGAGAGAGAGAGAGAGAGAGAGAGAGAGAGAGAGAGAGAGAGAGAGAGAGAGAGATTTCCTGAAACCCACCTTAACAGCCTCCACGAGCCGTTTAACGATCTCTCTGAGTTTCGTTTTGTGAGCGAAGGTAAGATTATACAGGTCAGGATTCTGACACCGGTCAGCTAGCACTGTCAGATGTTTTATTATCTCAATGCACGCTCCTCCTGTCGCCTGAAATATATTGTACATTATAGTCTTATTATAGTCTGTTATTAGTCTTTAATCAATGTGGGATAAGTAGGACCATCAAAATAGCTTTTAATTGGTGTGAAATATCTAGGGTCGAGGTATAATATCAATTCTCAATTATAAGTCGATGAGATTAATTGCTTTACATCCCCTTTCTACTGTATTTGTTGATATTTTTAATATAGCAAGCATATTTCTCAATAATTCATAACCGTGGGAATGCCATCCCATTAAAGCATTAAGTGAACGTTGCATCACAAATTTGAGAAACACCAGCTTTAAAATTTAGTTACGTTTCACTAAAAACAGCGTGTAAAAGCAGGATTGCCATGCTGTCATGCTGATTACCATTTAGCAGTGTAACTTTAGTAACTTGTCGAGTGTAACAGTGAACCAATTACCGTTCTAGATAAGACACGGCCGGGATGTAATGATATAATGATCTAATTAGCCTAGATTTAGTTTTAGTTAAAGTTAGTTAATTGGCAGTATGGTGGGGTCGTTAGCTCTCATTATGGACTCGTTCCAAAAGTCTCAAATTCAGCGCGATCTAATGTAGAATGGTTGGTATTGTCCCCTGATTGGTTCAGAGATAACAGCTGTCACGTGATTGGCTGAGAGGTAACAGCTATCACGTGATGTGAGGTGTTGTTCTTTACGGAGCACATCACACGTTTAGTAGTACATGTGCTAAAGTAGACTACTAGATGTAGAGACGCTTCAACACAGTGGACATTGTCACTTTTACACACAATACACCACACAATACACCACACAATACACCACAATACACCACACATACCATATGTCATACACCTCACATAACATGTGAGGACTGAGGAAGTTTGTAAAACAAACAAATCTCAAAATCTGCTCCTTATTCTAGAACAATCCTCTCACGCGAAGTTACACCAGTGGTTACAGTGCTCTATCAAATAAAGGTGTCTGATACCAATTACAGTGGAATCATTCTACATACAACTTTATTTACAGCACCATTATACCATTATATAGCACAGCCGTGAAAAGTCGGTCTCTAAATGTCTCTAAAAGCCGGCCTCTAAATGCTTTTAGTGTAATTATATCGCAAATTTAACCTTTTAGCAGCCATGCAACATTTAGAGGCCGTACTAAAATCATTACTTGCAACATCACTGAAAGCTTAAATTCAACCGCATCAACAGCTGAACAATACGTCCAAAAATACGTAAACTCACAGTGCAGGCAGCCACGTAGTTCTCCACGTCTCTGTTATCAGTAACGTACTTTAACTTGATAAGACTCTCCGTGCTGGCACGGATCAGAGTGCCGGATATAACTCCGCAGTGCTCGTGTATCACTGCTATGTCGTTCTCACACAGACTACATATGTCTATTTCCACTAGTATTATCTGAGGGGGTGGGAGGGGTTATTGTTCAGGTGCTGGAATGTTCTGACTGAGGTATGGTTCAGGTTCTGGTATGTTCTGACATGAGGGAAATTTCGGATTGCTCTGTGAAATAGAAACTTTGTGTGCTGTGTGAGTGTAAATTGGATTAAACTCAGCATTGCGTTGAGTAGCTAACTAAAATGTTCCTATCTTGTCTCGAACAGATTGGTAAATCGCAAACCCTGTTTTTATTGGTAAATCAAAATGACAGCGTTGTGATTTTACCGATTTCCGACAAGAATTCCATTGGGTATTTATTGGGTATTTGTATCAAGTAACAGCTCTACTGATATTCCAATTGATATTAGTGATGACCAACAATCAACCAGTTCTGAATTCAGACTCCCTTCAAAACTCCGAAAGAAGAACTACAACCTCCCAACACCTAGTGTAGATCGGGCAGTCAATGATATAGTCCAAAGCATGGAATCTGAGTTGGACCAAATCCTCCACACATCAGGACCACGCAAACAAAAACCCAAGCAAGAAAATCTCATACCAATCGAACAAGAAGGATTAAAATGGCTCGAAAAGAAGGTATCAGATGGAATAATAGCAATAACACCAGCCGACAAAGGAGGAAGCATCCTCATTGTTGATCCCAAGTTACTGAGAAATAAGACCCTTGAGAAACTAGAAAATCCTCAACTATACCAGAAACTTGATTCCGACCCACTCCATACCCTCCACGGTGAACTTTTTGACACTTGGGTCGAAGGTAAGACAAGAGGCTTCATTACACCTGAAGAAGCAAAGTCTGTGATGGGTATTTCAGACAACACAAATAAGGCAGGCACAGGCCCGACCAACAGGCCAAGTACAGCTCCTCACCATAAACCGGGAAAGAGCTACTTTTACCCCTCCTTGAAAGTGCACAAACTGAGGAAAGACCAACTTATCCCAGGAGTTGAACCACCAGTGAGACTTATTACAGCACTTCAAGAAGGTATCAGTAAAAAGAGTGATGTGTTTGTAGCCACGAAATACTTAAGACCCCTGGAAAAAGACTTCTGCCAAGACCTCCTTACAGACACAACAGATGCATTAATTTGGCTCGACGAAATCAACTCTAATAAGCCCCAAGTTGAAAAGAAAACATATAAACCGTTTACTTTTGACTTCAAGGGCCTTTACGACTCACTCAGCCCCTCCCTTGTCATTGAAGCTCTTAAATTTGCCATGGACCAATTAAGACCCGACTGGTCTATGAACTTCAAAGCTTGGCTAATTGACTTGGTGAACCACAGCCTAAAATCATCTATAGGTTTTTTCGAGAATGCTTGGTACAAACAAATACACGGTGTACCTACTGGAGGTTCTCTATGTGTTCAACTGGCAAACATCGCTGTGTTTTATGTCCTTAACAAGGAAGTCTACTCAAACCCCACACTAATGGACCAAGTAGCATCTGTTAAGAGATACATTGACGACGGAGCAGGTCAGTTTACAGGTACTACCAGACAGTTTTCAGCATGGATAAAGAAGGTCAACGAAAACATCGCTCCCGATGGCCTTGAAATAGATGAATTCCAAGCAGAAAATACAGCTGAATATGTCAGTTTTCTAGATGTACAGTTTACTTTCGACCATCAAGGAGAGCTTCAAACTGATCTATACGTAAAAGAAACAGACTCCAGGTCCTACCTACATTTCAGCAGTAGTCACCCCAATCACATATTCTCAGGAATTGTATACTCCCAGTGTTTACGCCTCAGGAGGATAATCAATTCAAAGGAGAGATTAGAGACCCAGCTTAACATTCTCAAACGGGCGTTTCATGAATCAGGATACCCTAGTAAAATGGCTGACAACATAGCTAACAAAGTCCTTGGCATGGAAAGAGTGTTAGTCAGGAAGAGTACGGTCGAGCCTAATGAACAATCCCCGCTATCAGCCATACCAATCAGAGTCATCTCCAGTTATGGAAGTGACAATGACTTGGTGAATGTTGTCCAGAAATACGAAGGTCACTTGAGACGAACTCGTAGTTTTAGTGAAAGTGAGAGTCAGCAAGCCACAAACTCCACCACAGCACCGAAAGGAAAAAATAAACTGTTTCAGTTTGTGAAGAAAACGGGATCTACGCTTAGATCTCGCCTCGTTACATCTAAACAGCTTGCCTTAGGTGCTAAACATGGTAAAACTGAACCCTGTCACAGAAGAAACTGCAAGTGTTGTAAAATGATCATGAATAAGGACTCCATCACATCAAATGGCAAAAAGATCAAATCAGCCCCTGGTTGTTGCAAGACCTATAACATCATCTATCTTGTACAGTGTTCGATTTGCAAGAAAAACTATGTGGGTAGGACTATTAATAGCTTGCATAAAAGGATGGACGGACACAGGTCCAAATTTTATGAAATCGTTGATGGTAGAGCATTTGATATTACTAGTGATGAGTATAGCCTAGGAGTTCACTTGATTGACCACGGTTTAGGAGTACATACAGATTTTAATGAAACTTTTAGAACTTTTATTTTAGAGAATTGCAGTCCCAGTACACTTGAAGTAAAAGAAAATAACTACATACATTTGCTTAATTCTCTTAGACCTTTTGGCCTTAATACTGTCAATCCCTTTGGATTACCTATATTCCATAAACCTTAATATGATCTTTTTACCTTTTTCGGATTCTTAATTTTGTAACGGTTTGAGTTTCACTAACCTTTTAACATTTTTTAGGTTCAATGTCACTGGAGATGACTACAATCGAAATATATTTGGCAAGAATCTGAATGTTTTCAGTGTTGAAAGTTTAGTTTCTTAAATCCTGGAGTAGTCATTCGTGTCCCTGATATTTGGGTTAATTCTAACTCTCCATTGGGTATTTAAATATTTGACAGTCGTCAAATATTATTAAGGCTTTACGAGTTGGGAAGAAGAAGTTCCAGGTTGCAGTGGCAAATTATCAGGTTCCGGGTTGCAGTGGCAAATTATCACTAGATGGTCGGTCGTTTTATCTCTAAGTATGAATTTGTAATCAATTGCGCTGCTTAAATGAATGTTGGTTTTTTTATAGTCTATGGAGATACACGTTATTTTGGGGTTTTTGGATGATTTTCGGAATGGCATTGCCTTACTTTAATCTTTAATCTTTATGGTATATTGCGAGCAGTTTAAAGGGTTTTAAAGCACCAATTTGCAGTACTATCTCCGACAAACATCAGTTTTTCATGATGGCTATTAGTACATTCTTAGGCCAGACAAACGAGGTATCACACATATTCTCCGACACCAATACAATCAGTTCAAGTGCATTCCTCAATCCCGCACAGAACCATGCAGGAATGTTAACAATATATCGACTAGATAAGAAACCCAGGATGCAGTTCCACGCGTTTGTATGCCAAAATCCCAGTGCTCGGTACTTCCAAGTTCCAGTACAAAACTTTTAAAATTAAGAAGTGTCAGATAAGTGAGCTGAATCCTGTTGAGTGAAATTCAACACCCACAAATATGCTCCAACATACCTGACATCATAAAACATGGGCATATTAATGAGGATAATGTGCCAGCCAGGCTCGAACATTGCTGTGTCCCCTAGAGGCTTCAACAAACGGGACAGTGTCCTAATTGATTTGATGTATTAATACCTGACGACTAGTCGAGTATTAAATGATATTTTTGTGTGAGTAATGAACTCATATTATGGCGCGTTCTCTTGGGGGTATTTGTAAGTGTTTACTGTTTTATGTCATCTAGAGTATTTTAGTACATGTTAAAAGTGATGTCCGGTACTTAGCAACAGAAACAGAACAGCGTGAGTACTTTTAGTAAATACAGTCACTTTTAGTAAATACAGTCACTTTAAGTAAATACAGTCACATGATGCACAATAATTCCAAATACACCAGAATTTGTATACCTGTTTTTGGTAACTGAACACTTTTGTTTAGTAAATATGCCGGTTACTGTTAAAACGCAGCTACTGTCTACGTAAACGTACTACAAACCTTGTTTAATGTTTAATATCCCATAAGAGTATTCACACTATACTACACAGTATACATATTACATAATACTGTTTATTTTTCAGGGCGCTAGTACGTAAAACTTAATCCTGTATAAAACTTAACGGAAAAACATCCAAAATTAGAGAATGACTCCACACCGTTCTCAGTAAACTAGAAATTCTATCTAGAAGGTATTTTTAGAAGTAACTTTAAATACATATATATCAAAACTTGTACAGTTTTCAAATTGGCAATTGGCTGAAGACATAGAAACACATAGTATATCTAAGGTATATATATTATATATATATATAGAAACACAATGAACTTTGTCTACATTTAGGACACAATGTAACTGTAAGGAGTAGTGGGCGGGGGATACATGTCGTCACTTCATCAGGGCAATAACTACAGTCATGCCATGTAAACCTGAACTATTCCACCAGAACTGATCCACGATAAATAGCTAGGTGACTGCATTCTTTACACTAGTAAAGTTCAGGGCTCTAGTGGTGGCTGCATTCTAGGTATTAGTAAAGTCCAATAACTGATCAGGACAATAAGCACAGATCAGTGTCTATAACACTGGACCACAATAACAGAGGTACAATGGTTGAGTTATGTACAAGAACAGTCCAAGTCTCTAGGGTAAAGACGTTACTAAAGGTGTTGAGAATGCGTGTGGGGTGTGAACAGGGCGCGTAGTAACGTGCACACGGTTTAAGAGCAACCACACCATTAGTAAATACCTAGTTGGTGCTGTCAACATCCTTCTAGCTAGGGTTTCCCTGCCAATTTCTGGGGGGTGACTGCCAGGGTATTCGAAGAGGGCTGAGTGGTATTTAATTGATAAAGCTTATCACTTTTTATCGTACAAGTCTTAATTTTTTCCGTTCGCCCTTTTGAAAAAAGGCAATAGTGAAAGGTTACGAATGGACGTTTTTGCAGAAAAACGTGGATTTTGGAGATAGCGGTAGGCAGGTCTGAATATGTTGTCATCTGTCCTTCCGTCCGTTACCATGACAACCAGCGTGCAGTGCAGCGCGCGAGGATTGCTTGCGGAGATGTGATGTATAGATAGCCTGTGGTCAATGAATGCGCGGCGCGACTGTGTTTCAATGTATATAACGGTGTAATGTATAGTATTAGGTTATAACACACATAACCCCGGCATGCGCAGGGATTATATTTCAATTTTTCCCGCGACGCGCGGGAAAAATTTATAATAATTTCGAGTGCGAAGCACGAGGGATTATTATGAAAATAACCCCGACGTGCTTTAGCACGAGGGGTTATTTTAATATAACTTAAGCGTGCCGGTGTTATGTGTTATAAACCCCTCCGGGTTAGTGCTAGGACCAACAAATTTGACATTTTACTCTTAATTCTAGCTATATGAGATCATTATGGAAAATATGAAATGGAATTGGGGACTTCCAAATAAATACAACTAAGGTACTATGACTTTTGAAATTGGCGTTATATCTAAACACTATTCCTCAGTCAGAACGTTGAATGAATATGAATATCGATAAGGGGCGTCGAGTTAAGCCTGGCAAGCGATAAAAGCTAATAATGATATCGTGTCATGAAGTTCATCAAAGTAGACGACTATAATACATGGCTTATATCAAACTCGACAAAATTAACCGAACCGGACAAAATCAAATGTAACCGTCGAGACAAGTTTTGGAACTGGTCCAATTAATGTAAGAGTTTAAGTAATGTAGTGTGCTGGAGTTTTGCCAGCGCCTGCAATTAGACCGATACGTAGATCGAGTGTATTTATAGTTCTTACGTTAAGCCATAGGTCACGTGACATTTTTTACCAATGCGCGTCGTAGTAGTTAGTCACGTGATACACGTCATCAAAACACGTGACAGTACGCGGTTGAGATTCTCATGGAATATCAAAACAAAACAAATCTTGTTGAGCCAAATTAGCGGGGCGGGATTATAAAAGCTGTGCCGGGGTTATTTATTCAGCGGGAAAAAACTAACAGCGGGAGCCGGGATTATCAGAATCTATTTAGCGGGAGCCGGGATTATCAGAATCTTATTCTATCCCGGAGGGGTTTATAAACGGGCCAAGCCCGATTTGTACTTGGCATGCGTAGTATAGTGTACTGACGTGTATCAATATTATTATTATGAAGTGAGCTGATTGGAGCTTATATTTATAGTTATAGTGAACGGAAATCTAGCGTCCGCCAAAACGAAACAACGGGCGCAATTCTTGTTGTCTCGTTTTCCTTAGACACAACTTTCAAAGTACAGAAAAATGTAGGTTTGGCGTATTTAATTTAGAGTTGAGGTATTCAACGTGCATTAATAGGTTCTCTTGAAAACACATATTGGAACAGAGGTTAGGATTTAAATATTAAATCAAGTTCTGTTCCCCCACAAGCTGCTCAACAAACAATTATCTCAAGCTCAAGTTGGTAGAGACTGATAATATTATCTGTGAGAAGTTCATAGAACTAATTAATCTACTCTCTCAGAAATTCACAGGGATTGTTACAATATTGCCATTAAATTATATTATTATATTAAATATAATATACTTTCTAACTTTAAGCAGTTCTTTCTATATACTTTTCATTAATTTACCAAATCTGAGACTCAGGAAAACCTAAGTATTTACTCGTCAGTAATTATTCAACAAATACATAGTTTTTATGCATTATAATTTATACTGCACAGGTTAGTACATAATATTATAACTAATTATAACTAATAGACTAAAGATACACCTGGTTCCCACCAACCTGTCCACTTTTAGCTTAATTATAACTTAATATGTTAACTGTGTAATTACAACGTCAGTTTAATATCCTAAACTAACGGACCTTACACATGACACGCGCTCAGCAAAAGTAGCATACGAAACTACAATGACTTTAAACATGACATAATCATGTGTATAATCTCGTTTCCAGAGAAAGTTTAAGGAGTAAGGTAATGTGATTTCATTGTGTGTTCACTGTTCAGGGAAACCCTATATTCGATTTGAGGTATCGTTTACAGCAAAGTAAACGGAAAAGATGTAGAATTTATTGCAAGGAGTAAGCACCTAAAACTCAAAACCTAATCCTTGACGTCATGTAAAAAACAAAGTAAATCCTACCGGCGGTTTTGTTAGCCGATGAGGGTAAATCATCTCGCAAACTGCAGACGATTGATTTACAATTAAAGTCTGATTGTAGATGAACCAATTGCCGGGAAAAGACGATGGAAATGGCATGTTTAAAGACGGTCATTCTTATTGTGTCACATGATAAATACAGCAATTATTAAAGTTATAAATAAATTGTTTTGAATTGGGAAACACGTGAGGGCACGATCACAACTCATGGATATGATGGAATAAAATATTAAAGATCTTGTTGTGGTAGCGATAAGTTTAAAAATGGTAATATGCATGGTTTGTTTTCATATTTTATATATATATATATCACTACAGATGTGACTATCAAATGTTATAATATCGTATTTGATCTGAGAACGATTATTATTTTGATTCAGCATAGTTTGGATGTTAATCTAACCGGTGGTTTAGAAAGATGGTGAGGGTAAGGAGTATAGGACTGGGTCCGCTGCATCATGTCGGAGGGAGAGACAGGTTCAGCTCTCTCCACTGTGGTGGTGGGCAGTTTGGCGAGGGTGGAGGGTGAGTAGAATGTAGGGGGGGATGGTGTCATTAAACCGCATACCTTGAGGGAATGTCAGTTGTAAACATAATTATAACATTTGGATAGTATGTGTCAAGAATGTTAAATATGTTCCATTAAGGGGGTGGAGATAGCTCAAGAAACAATAATCGCACTGCTTTATAAAATAGGAGCAATAAAGAAATAACAGTATTTAAAGAAAACCAATGTTGAGATTTAGCACGAACCTGGTGAGCAAGAGGAGTGAGAGAAGGAGAATTGGCCGCAGAGGAAGGCCCAATAGTCCCCAGAGTTGAAGTAGACCCCGCACTTCCTGGAGTCGAGCTCCCCGAACTCCGTGCGCTGCCCCCAACACGTACTACCGGCGCAACCTGCTGAGCTGCCGCTATCTGGGTAACCGGTGACACGTTCGCTATCTGCATAACCGGGGAGACGTGCGCTACAGGTTTAATCTGCATGCCACGCTGCGCTGGAGGGTCTCCTATCTTAGGGGGTTTAGGTGGAGCGCGGTTTGGTTCTTGAGGAGGAGGACGGTTTGGTTCTGCGAGGGGAGGAGGTTGGGAGGTGGGGAGGCGAGGAGGTTGTGAACAGGGGAGTGGAGGGCGGTATTGGTCATCTGTTTCAGTCAGACTCTTACAGCTGGAGAAGATTATTGTTAGTTTTGGATACTTTCCAAACGAATCTCTTGAATTGAAAGACAGATTGCGATTTGCCCCAAACAATCATGTAAAGATTTATTGATAAACCAATTGCCTGAAATTCAGAAATCACATGAGGATTGAGGGCGGAATCAGAAATTATGATGGATTTAACCGATGATTCCATCGAAGTATTTATCGAAGTTTTTAAATTGCAGAATTTGTTTTCAAATTTAAGTAATTATTACAAATGCTACAGATCATATGATATCACGATCAGTGTTTGATAATATTGTATTTGATGGGAATTATGAAAATATATGAAAGTTAGATATTATGTTATCCAAACTTGCATTGATCAATCATTTCTAAGTTTCCATAATCTTCCTGAAAAGCAATACGTTGCTTTAAAAGTTGTTGAATCTTTGCTTGTTAACATCAGTTAACATAGGGCAGGGTTCTGGTAAACTTACAGATCAGCAAAATCTGGCGCCAGGACAAAACTTAGGACGTCCATTTTGGACAACAGACTCTCAACACTATGACTGATTAAAAGTATCACGTGTCAGTATCACGTGTTAGTCAAGTGTCAGTCAAACTGATTTAACAAGGAGTCTCATAAACCACTAAAATAACCCTTATCACTTCTTTATCTGTATTTTATAGTAGAGGACACATTATTCACACACTTTAAAACACAATTTGTCACGTAATTTAAAACAGCGTCTCAACATTTAATTTTAATTTTCACCACGATGATAAGCCGACCATATGTTACATGTTGAAATTAAAGATTTATGACTTACGAAATCTCCCAAAATAGCCTCTCTCTCTCTCTCTCTCTCTCTATCTCTAGCTACAGTTCATCAAACCACTCACATAAAACACTTTACAGAACACATTAGTAAAGTAACAGTGAGCACGTGACCCACTAGAGTGAGACCACGTGACTTACTAACTCACCTATCTAAGCTGCCAGGGAGATGGTGACGACTCTGAACGCTGCTCCCGTTGCTATGGTAACCACTGGAGTTGCTATGGAAACTGCTGGGTACCCCCTCTAGGTCGGGTACTTCTGTGTAGTCGTGAAATTCTTCGTCTTCTAGTGGGCCGGGGTCGTGGGTTACATAGCTGCAACCTTCGTACATTGAGGGTTCTCTATCGTTCCTGGAAAAGGGATCATTTACTTTCATTTAAATATCTCAGCGAATGTTCATGAGCATTATAAAAAGAAGTCGCTTTGACCTACACTGCTATTAGTGTTAGGACTTTTAACTCAAAAGACTTTTAACTCAAACATATGGATCAATTTCAGATAGCATTTTGAGGTTACAGTATGGTTGCTGGATATGAAGTGGGAGGAGCCTCCAAGTGGGAGTGTCTTTAGTTGATATCATGACGCAGACTACAATTTACCTATTTAGTTATTAGCCCACACAGTGCTCATAACATTGGGGATAACTGGTATTTCATGACGTTATGTTGTAGCGAAATGTAGTTAAATTATAACTGCTGGTCGTTTGACGTACGGTATTGCACTCGTTATGTATTGCCAAGGAGGCGCGGTGACGATACAGGTTGGGATACGTATGGAGTTATTATTTTCATGACGTATTTCGATTATAATTATGGTTGGTTCGTTATATTGAAACGGGTGCAATAGTTACAGAGGCCATGATAGACTCTAAAATCTAAATTGGATGCAATTTTGATGGTTTCCCAATATGATCCAATACAAATAGCAACCCTGAATAGCCTGAAACCCCAGACAATACACAAACATAGTATTATCTAAAGAAATGCCCATTATTTTTCACCAATCAATAAAAAGTAACTGATTAACAAATTAACGAAGAGTAGCCTGTAATTAACACAGCCTTGTAATACCTGAGAGGGGTGGAATGTCTGCGTTCGTTAGCGAGCTCACTACACAGCGCTCCTGTCACACTCTTACTCCTCTGCCGTTCCAACATGACCCTGCCAGGAGCCGAGTGGAAGGTATTGGACTGTGGGAGATGGTGAGGGAGAGGGCTGAGTGCGGAGGAGGGGGGTGGGTGTTCTGGAGTTATCACCTCCACGTACTCGGGACCATCTTCTATTTCTGCGTAGTCCTGGGGAGTGTGGTGTTAAATCAGGTACACACTTGGTTATACAGTTAGGGACACAGTACTCATGGTAAATTAGAACTCCCGCGAAACTGCGCTATCAATTTACCATAAATTTGATATGGGCGTTCACCTTAATTAGGATTGGGGTCCCACGCTAATGGTGTGTATGTTAATTGGATGTAATTTTAATTACGTGTAACCCAACATTGATTAGCACAAGTCTCAATCTCCCGCTTATAATTACAATTACACACATATCCTCATTATTGACAACACAAAAGATTCGCATGAAAATACATTTAACATTACACCAATGATCAGATTGAGTGTAAGGAAAGACAAGATTTACAGCTCATGTTAAATTAGAAATCCTCCAGCACACATTACGTCATCTTGTAGCGTGAGAAGAAGTGGTTAGCAACCCACACACCACCACTGTGTTACCACGTACTGACACCGTGTAATTTATATCAGCACTGCAACTTGGTAAACCTCCAAGAATTAATCTAATTACAGGTACAGCCTGGTTTTCATATCATTCTCAGATTTCTTTCTCTTTTCTACCACAGTTTTAGAATATTCAACCAATTTAGATAAGCTGGTTCACTAGATAAGCTGCTATTCTAGATAAGCTTCTAAACCCGTAAACCTGTTTAAACGTAAACATGATAGGAAGTGTTACTTAAATCAGATGCAAGCTCACAGTACAGACCCAACATTTTATACTCAGTAATATCCCTTGTAAAAACTTACAGTTATTATTAACTAAACTTACAAAGATTATAAGTCCATTACCGTATTATAGTATTCTGCTATATTCTGTAAGGCTTTACGGCCGAGAATGACTCTAAACGTTATATATAATAAGCGCCGCAACAACTCCTGAAAAGTCCACAAGTCCTTACTTTCTCAATCTCGTGACCGCGTAACTTTCCAGCGTCCGATCTAACACATTTTTCAGAGAGAATAACATGCATATTTCCCACATTTTAAAATGTCTAGTCCGAACACATGCATGTAGGCAGGAATCATGAGAGTATGATTATTTCTCCCTGATAATATGGGAGTGATATTTAGAAATTAAATCAGGATGCATGCAGGGCACTTTATTATTGGTTTATTGAACCTTTGAACTATATCTCTGTGAGCTGACAAGAGATTCTGTCAACCCTTTCTTATTCAAGATATCAGAGTTAGTACAATCACAATTCACACATTATAATAATATTATGATGTTATGCTTGATTCTTATACTGCTAGCAGATACTGAATCTTAACTCAACTCACATAACTAATAACAATAAAATAAATCTTCTCTGACATTAAGGAAGCAAAATATAACTAAAAATAATCCCGATTTTAGAGCAATAAGTCGTGGTGCGTGTAAGCAACTTCTTTCTTTTTTCATGGCAAAATCCCACTTTCACTGCTCGCCATGTCCTCACATGATGACTATATCGCTTAATAACACGTCCATCGCCAAGCTGAGCTATACCGTACAATAAACTTTACAGGGAACCCATAGTAAACCAGTATAAGTGACAGGGGTGATAACATACAAAGGCCTCCCTAACCTTAGTATGCAATGCTGCAGTGTGTTTATTATACTGTGTCCCCGTGTTGATAATGATAATTGGCAAAACACTCCTCCGACAAGTTACAGATAGTATAATTGTAAATAATATGTTATGTAAAACGTGGTGCGTTGTACTAAGTTGGCATTATGTTGGGTTGGGTAACTTGTCAACAAACTAACAAAGTAACAATATTATATTATTTCTTTTGAGAGATTTTGTGATAAAACTCGGAATTGTATGGTAAGTCTTTTTTTTTCTTTTTCTTTTTTTTAAGAGAGGCTGGGCCTGGTTGGCCCACGAGAGGATAGCATATGGATGCTTTGCCTACCTCTGGGGTATGGCAGTCCTGTGGGAGGATGCCAGTGGAATCAAGATGTGTAATCAAGGATGATGGTAAGTGTTGTGGGGTGTGTCATAACTCATAGATAAACGCTTAAGTGGTGGTTGAGTGTGGAAGAGAGGGGCGAAACAAGGCGGCGTTAAAGTAGTCGCTATGTTACACCTGTCTGGTCCAACTCCTCCGGCACCACTAAGCGTTTAGTGTGGTTTGTAAAGTTGACAATGGTGGAGATGTGTTGGTTGTCGAATATGTCATTGACAGAGAGGTAGTAGTCCCGGAAATATTGACCTCTTATTTGGGCAATAGCCGGGCACTGTCCGAGAAAGTGTGAGACAGTCTCCTCTCCGTCGCCGCATTTAGGACAAGCACTTGTGTCTGATTTGTGAATGGTGTGTAGGTGTTTGTTGAGGCCACAATGTCCCGTGATGAGGTGCACTGCAGTTCTGTAATTTTGTCTGTTGTTACTGAGTGTAGTGTTGAGATTTTTGATGATGTTGATGTTTTTATGTCCAAGTGTCAGTTTAGTGTGTCTGGGACCATCAGTAATCCATGATTCTTGATTAAGTTTTGTGACTTTGTCGTTGATCAGGCGTTTGATGTAAATGGTAAGTCTTGTAGCAGGTAGCAAGCTTTTTTGTTATGATAAAAAATTCTTGGTCTATCGAGGGATAGCACATATTGTTCACATATTATTCACATATTATTCACATTTCACATATTATTCACATATTATTCAAATTTCAAACATATTATTCAAATTACAAACCACAAATTGAGAAAATAGTCTAATAAATTGGGAACAATTCCCCTAATCTACTTTACGGTTAAGAGAGCGTACCATCACCCCCTCAGTTTACAGTCTTATATCTAGTTTCGCCAGGTCGTTTAGTGGTCAAAGTCACGTGACCTTTGTTAAAACAACGTGCTAACTATGGGTCTCGGGTGACAGGTGACTTTACCTGTTGGTGTAACTACCACGTGGTATCCCAGCCCAAGTGGTATTCCAGCCCACAAGGCAATCTGCCCATTAACTAATACTGCGTTACAACCGTTTAGGAATCTGTTTAGAACGCGGTTAGAAGGCTGCTGGAGACGGTGCCATTTTTCATCTCCACTTAGTGCAGTGGTTGGGATAACATAATATATTCACTTGTATGTTAACTAAGGAAAGAGTAATGATATGATAAACCAGAATATGTAAAATATGTATTATACAAAAGTGTAAGGACGATCAAGAAGTTACTCGTGATACTAAGTTACACGGCACAAGCGTTACTCGTACTGGTAAGCGTGCACTGATCACTCTGGAAATTTTAGAATTACTCTGTTTTGGGTGTTTTGTTTAAACATATAAGAGTTTTGGGCTGTGTTTGTTATTTTGTGGAATTACATGGTGTGAATAAATAATGAGGTACTTTAACAAGTGACGTATGAGCATCTGGAATTTTATTGAGAATTAAGATGACAATATAGCTAATAATGACGGGGATTGTAGCGGTGTGACAAGATGTGTGACAAAATGTGTGACAACCCTCACCAACTGTGCTACAAGTACAACCCACTACTTTGTACTTCTACTTTCACTCTCAATACTTTTACGTCACAGCACACGGCACAGCTGTAACACTTGTCTGATATCCGAGTGTTGGGAAATCTTAATTCTCTACAACATGGCAAAAGTGAATCAGGATAATATCAAAATATTGTACCCTGAGCAGATTACATATCGAATCAACGTTCAAATTTTAATTTTGAACGTTGTTTTAATACTTTCAACACTACTATATAACAAATAATTTGAGCAAGACAAGTCACAAAAATGTCCAACTCCGGTGAAACACAGCAAATCGACAACATCACGGAAACCGCAGAGAGTGAATCGATCTCAAGCACGACGACGAATGAACTTCTTCGTCTTGAAGTATTGGAGGACAGCACATCAGTCTGTCCCTCTAACAATTCCGACGATTTATTGAAATCACCCCAAATAGACAACTCAAATATACGACGAAAGTCGTATATTAGTGAAAACTCTACAAGCACGGACCACACAATCAGACAACAGCTCAAATACAGCAACATTAAAGGTGACGCCGTTGAGGATCTGAGACGGAGAAACCGGGAACTTCACAGACAGAGAAGAAATTCTGGACGTGATTCAGTAGCCTCTGGCAACAGAGGGCTCCACGATCAGGATCTCTTCGAGGACGAAAGTGATGTTCCGGCGGTCTCCCTCAGTTCTCCCGCGGAGGCGACTGCTGCCCCGTCCGAAGTCAGCCCAATGGAGGTGACGGATGCGAAAGCTCCCGCAGTTGAGTCCAAACCTGAGTCGATGCCGATCCAAGATAACACCGGGTCGGGATCCTCGGGGATGGACAAAACTCGGAAGCCGGAACAGCCTGAAACCTCCACCGCAATTCTACCAGTACAGAAAAGCGGGGCTGAGAAGAGGAGGAGGAAGCAGAAGTCCAAATCCGAAAGACAAAAGGAAACAGACACCTCAGACTGCGAAACAGAAGCTGTGAAACTGACAGACCCCGACGAGGTTTTCAGGAAGGGTGATCCATTACTCACCCTGATCGTAACCAAGGCGGAGGCACTCAGTGACGCATGTGATCACATCACACGTCTCCTGTTCGTGGTCTCACAACCACTCAAAATCACTCTACTGCAACCAACCATCGACGGGGCAAGGATAGAGGTGGAGGATAAGCCATCGGCCATCACGATCGCAGAAACCCTTCGTAGAGAGGGGTGGAACGTGACTGAGACTGATGTGTGGAACCGATACCAATTTCCTGTTCCATTCCAGCTCTCTGGATTGGAACACGCTGCGGACGGGTTGGACCCAGTAACTTTGGTTCGCGGGCTTATATCTCGGAACGTCCACTACGGCTTGCCGTTGGACTCGATCCGATATGTATCGCACGCTTGGGAAACAGTTAAGGTGGAGGCGGCTGAAGGTGGCACTGCGGCGGCGCGACGGCGGATGCGTTTATGGGTTGATGTCTCACCTCAGGGTGAAGAATACCTCATGAAGACAGGTCATCTCCTGTGCACGCTGACCGCTGCCGTGCGCCTCAGGG